ATTGAGAGCATATACTAAAATGGGTGATGAGGAAGGGCAGTGACGCTTCTTCCTTCTCCCCCCTCTATAAAATTTTCCTTTAAGACTCACAGAGAGAGAGAGCAATTAGAGTTTGGGAGATGACACTACTGTGGCCTTCATTGAGTGTTGCCCACAATCTTTGTTCTTTATTCTCTTTTTTCCCCTAAACCCTAAACTTTTCCTCCTCATATGCCTACGTATCTCAAGATTCCACAGAACTTTTGTTTCTTTTATAATCCTTGGATCAATTCTTGGGTATTTCACCGAATTGTCCCCTAAACTTGAACTTAATTATCAATTTACTCACTGATCTTTTTATTTTTTAGAAAATTAAAGACTCGAATTAAATTTTATTCTCAATTTCCCCGTGCCATTCAAATTCTCAACATTTCATCAATTTGCCATGAAATATGAAGGCAAATTAGTCATTTTATATGTTAAAATAATTAAATAATGTAAAATAAAATAACATGATGTAAAATGAAAAAATATATATTTTAATAAACAGAGGGGTGGGACATCTAAATTTTCTTCGAAATATGTGCAGGATTGATGGATTAACGGGAATAGTTATTCGAGTTATTTTGTTAGATGGGTATAGTTGGTCAATTAAATTGAAGAAAAGATGAATGTATGGTAAGTGGGCTGTAAATAGGTGTATGAACATTGACAAATTCATGAATTTTTCTACGTGGAGTCCACGTGTAAAAGTTCTCAATTTATTTTTCATGTAAAAAATAATTGTAACAATGAAATGATATATTCATGATTCATAGAAAAAATATCATCACAAGCAACAATTCTCCACCATAAGTTTTCAATACTTGTATTATTAATATAAGGCTTTTTAACTGTAGTAATCCTAAAATTTTGGTCAAATTTCATTTTACTCCCTTAAAATTAAAGTGGCCCACTTGATCGTGGCTTTTGTATTTGTACTTCGCTTATGACATAATTTATAAATGCAATCTTCCTAGCGTTTGACCAAAAAAAAACCACAAAGTAGCTTTTGTTTTGTCAAAAGCGAAAAATGCATATCCGAAATTGCTGAACAAACTAAAGCCCATAAAGATGCCCAAACACAGAATTATCTTATAAAATTTCCATCTCCTCATCCCTAAAATTTTCAAAAAGCCCATATTTCCGCTAACCAACTTACCCAAAATACAGCCATTTCCTCTCCCTAAAGCCTAAACCTCCTTCCATCTCCCTCCTCCAAGAAAACCGGCTGAGCCAACCTAAATTCCACAAAGGTGGAGACAAGTCTCTGGCACATTGCTAATAAATTCAAATTATACATAGACATATATAATAAATTCAAATTGTGTTTTTTAGTAATATTCTTATACAATAGTTAGTGTCACCAAAATGTTCTTCTAATGTTTTAAGAGTTCTAAAAATTGTGCTTATTTATGGGGCGGTATCACAGTAGAAAAGTGGGCCAAACTCTCCTCTTTCTCCTTCAAGTACACTTCGTTCGATTCACGAAAAAGACAATTTTGTGACAACCTAATATAATACTCCCCCCTCCTCTTCTCTAGCAAATGACAAAAAATGTGTTTATTAAAAACCTATAGTATTAAATTAACCAAAATAACCAAATACACACCAAAAGTATTGAAATTGAATTTATTGAAATATATTGAAATATACAAAATTAACCGTAGTTACCAAAACGAAAGTTTTGATTTTTAGTTATGGTAAGCCCCATTACTCATTCCAAACGAAATAATGGCAGGCTTAATACTCCATAGGATATTGGGAATGTAAAATAATCATTGTCCTTTTTTAATACTAAGTGTACTTTCCATTACCAAAAATACTAGGGAGACTAATTTTAAAAACCAACTTATGTACATATATTTAATAGAGGTGAGACCTATTATATTGGTGGACTCCTGCTTTATTAGAGAAATAATACACAAGTCGGTATCTAAAGATAATCTTTCTAACATGACCTTACTATTATTACACATACCAAACATTGAGAATAAGAAATAAACTACATAGTAATCACCCCCCCCCCTCCAAAACTTATTCCGTGGTTTTGAAAAAGTTCGCTCATTGCAACATCAAGACACCTCCTGCAATCTACACTAGAAAGGTCCCAGTGCATTGAGTCGCACTACAAACTAAATCGTTATTTGATTCCCCTAGTTGTAGCTTCCCATAAAGGTACATAAGTGGATTCACAGAAGCTTTAGAACATAAGTCGGTTAACAACTCATGAAATTTCTTATCAAACAACAAGGGAGCACCAACAAATCTTATGTTCGTCAGATGAACGACATTATCTGTGTCATTTATACCTATGAAATGTGTATCTGAGTATTTTAAGGGGCAATCTTCATACCAAATTATTGCTCCTCGAATATAAGGACAAATTACGCGAAGTTCTTGCCCTGCTTCACTAATACATCTTCCACAATGTGTGGTCGTCATTATATATATATATATATTTGTTCATGTTCTAGCCAATCCGTAAGTAGATTTATTAGCAAAATCCATAATTGAGACGAATACATCCACGTGGATCATATTATTGAAATCTAGAACATATATCATTTTCTTAATTATATTTTTCATTGGTTTATCGGTAACATTGGTCCTAAATTAGGCAAGATTTACATTTTGGTCTCCTAATTTGATTTTTGGTTGGTTCCCCTAGTCCCTTAACTTCACGTACCATTGGTCTTGCTATCATATTTGTTACATTTTCCCCCATTTAGGTGCAAAATTTGCATTTCATGTCCAACCCCCCATGACTCACACTAGATCAACCACTTCCCACCACTAGGCTTATAAAAATGGTCCAAGCCCGATGGGGTAGCCCGAACTCAGCCCGATATTATGAGCGCTCTTAACTTGGCCCGTTGTGTAAAGGGTAAAGTCTAACCTTAATTTTTAAGTTCTTGGGCATCCCGGCCCAGTTCGATGATTAAAGTTAATAAATAATCAAGGCATACATGAAGTGGTTTCAAAGATTCCAAACCTCAGGAGATTGCAAATGTTGAAGGTTGTTCGATTACTAATGAGTAGCAACCTAGAAGAATTTTATTTACTGAAATATGTTCCTGATGATGAGAAGACAGAGTGGATACTATTTTTGATAATTAGCCAATCTAAAGGTCAATTTCCTTTTGGCTTACTATTGCTTGGGAGATAGCATTTTTCATTTTTTCCCCCTCCTTGATCTTCATGACATCATTTCATTCTTTGGTGTTGCTAGGTGTCCAACAAAAATGAAGCCATTCATAGTCCCTATTCTAAGTGAAGGAGATAGAAGTCTTGTTTTGAAGAGCAAGAGTGTTGATTTTATTCAAATTCCAAAGTTGTTACTTATAATTCTGGGTTTTCTTTCGAACAAGCCACCGTCTTCCACTACGGTTGGATGGCCTTAATTTTGGATGGGTTAGGTAGAGGAAAGAGGGGATATTTTGGGACAAAATTGGAGGTCATTGGTGCCCAAACGAAGGAGAAACGCTGAGCGTTGAGGGAGAATCAGAGAGAAGGAGATAGAAAGGTAGGGTTTGTTGGCGCGTGATAGGTATGTATAACTTGAATTGTAGTTAATTATTGGACAAATCAACCATCTGCAGACAAATGAGAGTGAATATTACATTAATATTGAGGGAAAAATCCACAAAAATTCAAGGGACACACAAAAAGAGAGAGGGGTCAATTCAAGTGCACTTTGAACATATATCTTCTTCTTTTTGCATGTTTTCTTTTTTCGTTCTTCACATGAACAAAAAATGTTAAAGAGTTATAAAAATATTATGACTATGTTGGAAGAAACATTAGGAATATTATATGTCATCTTTCGTGAGGAAACCAACAAAAAAAAAAAAAAAAAAAAAAAACTTGGGTTTCATATCCTGAAACAATGCAGTTCAAAGTGAAAGGTTATCATAATCAACCTCAACCATTTCCTTCTCATATGGAGTGCAAAATTTGGAGCTCACAACTCTTCCAGCCAGAGGACCAGACATCCTTGAGCTTTTGTTTGTGACAATGATCCTTTCATTTGTTCTTTCGTCCAAAGGTTTGGCTATACAAAATCAGGTCAATCGTTTTGACTTTGGTTCAAGTGAAACTTTTCATTCAATGGTTCAATAGTTTAGGAATGTTATATAGTTTATGTGAGAATATAAGATGTGGTCCCAGTTTTCGGATGACTCTTAACACAAACTTGTATAATTAAAGGAGTGGTGATTTCTTCACTCTCATTTTATTCACTTACACACCATTTTATAACTAAAAGAGGAGTGTAAGTGGATAAAATTAGAGTGGAGAAATCATTACCCCAATTAAAGTGCTTGTTTACGATCAATGAATTCTAGCTCAGTGAAAAAAAGCATGACTTGAGAAACTCCCTCCCTCTTTTAAACTATCGCTTGTACACAAAAAAATGTTTGTACGGATCAATCCTCTCTCAAGTGAACTCCATAACTTCAACTTGTTTTGCCAAACATGTGTGCAAATTCAAATCCTTTCGCCTAAAGGGGCCCACAAAGAAATCGTTGTTCATATTAAATTTCGAATTTTGGATGCATTCCCATCACCTACGTGTCAAAATCACAGCTAGAGGAATAAATTGGGGTAAAAATAAGCGTTACCGCATGAGACAATCTCTCCGTCCTTTACGGACTTTAAAAATCTGTGTCCATGGTATCTCGGTCTCTCTTCCCTCCTTTTAAGAAAGAAAAGAAAAGAAAATGTCTGTGAGCTTGCTAAAACCCTAAATCGGTGACGCAGCCCACAGCCCCAATCAAAAGACAAACCCCCTTTCCATCAGTAATCAATGACTGCAAACAAAACTATAAATTAAAAAAACCCTAAAAAATTCCCCAATTCTCAGTTTCAAAAACCCTTCTCTCTCTATTTCCTTCTCTCTGACATTCTCACACCCAAAACAAAGAACACAGTGAAACAGAGAAACAAAATATCCAAAAGGGTCTCTGAAATGCTTAGCAGTGATGCAGAAACTGCTCCGCATAAGCCCCTCAGGCCCCATTCTGTGCACTACGGCTAAGGCTCCTCTTTCCTCTCTCCCCTTGGCCTCAAGCATTCTATCAAAAGCTTTCAAGGGCTCAACTGATAACCCTTCAAGAATGCACACTGCAGCTACGGCTTTTCGCTGCGGCTCAGCCCTCGCCGCTACTGTTCACAGCAAACCCACTTACAGTATCCCCGATCGCATCAACTGCGGCCTCTGCCGCTGCTCAGTTCATGACAGAGCCCCGTCCCGGGCTTGGCTTGTGCTCAAAGACTCCGGTTTGGGGTCCCGGCCGGCGTGGCTGCACACGAGCTCTGATGGGTCGTTTTCTGTTTCGGCAGCAGAGGGTTGCAAGGGTTTAGAGAAGGGTTTGGAGGGTTTTGAGGATTTGAGCGGTGGTGATGGTGGAGAGGCTGAGAAGGGTTCGGAGGAGAAGCCAAATAGGTTGAGTAATAGGCGGCAGAGGAGTTCCGGGAGCGGCGGGTTATTGGCTGGAAACCCGGACTTGTTGGCGATTCCTGGCGTGGGGCCGAGGAACTTGAGAAAGCTGGTGGAAAAGGGTATTGGGGGAGTTTCTGAGCTCAAGCAATTGTATAGAGATAAGGTATTGTGTAATATACTGAAATTTGTCCATAAGAAGGCCTCTAGTTGAACAAGTAAATTATTATGTTAAAGGTACTTTTTTTCTTTTGTTTGATGGATTTAATGCTTTGTTGTTTACAACCCCAGTAGCCTGAAAATGATCTGAGTAGATAATTTGAACCTTTGCTGACTATTGTTAGAGAAATTATGGTGATTTAGAATGATTATTTTTTGTAGCATTGATTTGGAAATTGAAAAGAAACCAAGGCTCTTTCTTTAATAGATGGAATGGTTACATTATGGCTGATATATGGACACTTATGACTCTATAATGACAAGGAATTTTGGGCTGCTGCTTGCAGTTCTTTGGAAAAGGTAGTCAGAAGATGGTTGAGTATTTACAAAGTTCGGTAGGAATCATCCACAAAAACCATGCTGAGAGTATTACTACTTATATTAAAGAGAGTGTTGATGAAGAGTTGAAGGAGGACAGCTCGAACTCAGAAGTGAAGCATACACAGAAGAAGCGGCTTACTTTCTGCGTTGAGGGAAATATCAGTGTTGGAAAGACAACATTTCTTCAGAGAATAGCAAATGAAACACTTGAGCTAAGAGATCTTGTTGAGGTGGTTCCAGAACCTATTAACAAGTGGCAGGATGTTGGACCCGACCATTTTAATATATTGAATGCTTTCTATGCTGAGCCGCAGAGGTATGCCTATACCTTCCAGAATTATGTGTTTGTTACAAGGTTGATGCAGGAGAGAGAATCCTCTGGTGGCATCAAGCCCCTCCGGTTGATGGAAAGGAGTGTTTTTAGTGACAGGATGGTAAGTATTTTGTTATTAGTCAGTTTCTCTTTACTCAGTGTGATGAACTGAAATTATACTGCTTTTTTGTTTCTAAGTATTTTCAATGAAGTTTGGGGACGTTCTGTTAACTCCACTGTTTGTTCTGTTCTGCTCAATCATTATATATACCTACAGACCCTCCTCCACTAGGAGTGGAGAAAAAATTGTTTTATTTCAAAATGAGTTTGGAATTTTTCTAACCTAGTCAAAATTTAGCAATGACCAAAATTGATTCAATTGAAACTTTTCAGTTCTTTCATCCTGTTTGGTTGATCCCATTCGAGGGGAAGCAAAACCCAACTTAGTGTTTCAAGGCTGATGCATTTATCTCATTGTTACATAATAAAGGTTTTTGTGCGAGCTGTTCATGAAGCGAAGTGGATGAATGAGATGGAGATCAGCATCTATGACTCCTGGTTTGACCCAGTTGTATCGTCCTTGCCTGGGCTTATCCCTGATGGTTTCATATATCTTAGAGCAAGTCCTGATACTTGTCACAAGAGAATGAAGCTACGGCAGAGAGCCGAGGAAGGTGGAGTCAGCCTTGAGTATCTCCACGGCTTGCATGAAAAACATGAAAGCTGGCTTTTCCCGTTCCAGAGTGGTAATCATGGGGTCTTGTCTGTTAGTAAGCTTCCTTTACACATGGACAGCTCTTTACCTCCTGATATTAGGGACCGTGTGTTCTATTTGGAGGGTGATCATATGCATTCAAGTATTCAAAAGGTATCATGTTGATCTTGGTGACCTTCTGTTATCTCATCTTGAGAATGTGGCTTATTTTTCTTTGATGGTCTGCAGGTTCCTGCTTTGGTTCTTGACTGCGAGCCAAACATTGATTTTAGCAAAGACATTGAAGCAAAGAGGCAGTAAGATAACTATCCTTAAAAATCTTGCACGGGAATCTTACCGATTTCTGTGATTTTGTTTGGAAATATGGTTTGTTAGATTCTTGTCCTCTTATATTGTGGATTTATTTTGAGGTCTGTTGTTTGGAATATCTACTATAATTATGCCTCAAAGTTGCATTCTTCTTCTGTATTATTGATAGTTAATTGCTTCATGTCCCCAAGTAATCGTAGTTGCAAAGTTAGTTTTACTCAGCATGTAAAAACATAATCGAGCATGTGGGATTTATCTAATTGCTTCAAATCTTGATATGAAGTCTGTTAATGTGTTGTCTGAACACATTCTTTGTGTCGGGCTAATTACATTCTAATATTTGGCTGTCATTACATGGGGTCTCTGATAAAGTGATGTCTTTAGTTAAGAAATTACAGTATTAACTAGACCGAAGGCTTCCACCATCTTGTGGAAGGGGACTATGCTAATGCTTAAGAAAATTATCTCCTGGCCAGGTATTGACGACATAGTCAGGGCATTAGAACATTAGTTTTCTGCAACCTTGATTCTTTTCGTCAACTGATACTAATAATATGTTAACATTACTGTGGTGCTGCTTTGGTATTCTCTTTTTTCTTTCCTAAATACATAACATTGCATATCAGGACTGATTTGTTGTGCAATTTGACTTTTTAAAAAGGTATGCTCGACAAGTAGCAGAGTTTTTTGAATTTGTGAAGAAAAAGCAAGAAGTCCCATCTGCAAAAGGTGGTGAGGAAGCTAAGAAGAGTAGCCAACAACAATTAGTGCTGCCCCAAAATGGAGAATTATGGGTTCCTGATAAGCATTTCCCCGAGTCAGCCCTCAAATCTCTGGAGTTTAGACGAGCCATGTCTCTCATGTCTGGATAGCGAATTTGATTCCTCTACTCTCGTTTTTGTTTAAGCTTTACTCAGATACATGTAATGAGTCATCTGTTTTCGTCTCATTTGTGTCTGGGTTATATGTTAGATCCTTGGTGCTTGTATAAAAATGTGTCTAACCCCTAGAGATGTAGAGAAAGTTGTACTGCCCTTAAGGTTTCTGAAGTTTGGTTGAAGTTTTATTTATTTGAATGGAAACACTTCATCAATGTCTGCTTCAATGTGAAAAGATCTTGTCCATGCAAAGTTGTCAATTTTGGTTGCGTATTTAATTTCAGTTACAACTTGGGGTATGGTTTCCTTTGGAAAAGAGAGTATGTCAAACACAAATATTTGTTTTTGTGTTTTGTGACAAAATAACCAGCATTATAAATTCAAACAAAAACATTTCGAAATTGCAAGCATTAATAATTTTGGGAATGTAAGCATGGCAACGTCTTTTATTGGAAAAGACATTTTGATTCTAATTGCTGCCTAAACCAAACAGTAAAATGATGATAAAAATTATATAGCAATTACCAAACATGCATATCAAAATACTGCAATTGGAATACATCATTCTCATCCACTGCATAGAGCTCATCCCCTGCCTAGGGATGGCATCATAAAAGAGCTCATAATGTGAAACATGCACCACCTAAATAAAAGGGTACAGTTCGAATCTAATATAGCAACTCCCATAATAAGCACGTGCACCGCTCATTTCATGCATTTGATAAAGAAGTTCACTCATTGCAACATCAAAGCACTTCTTGCAATCTATGCTAGAAAGGTCACCGTGCATTGAGCTAGGACTCAACTTAATTCTTAAGACAAATACATAATATATATATATATATATATATATCTCTCTGCGTGCGCGCTAACAGAAACCAGTGTTAGCTTTGCATTGCCCAACAGAAACCAGTGGTAGCTCTTTGCATTGCAATCTGTAAATGTTTTCCCCTTACAACTGTAGTTTATTTTATTATAGTATTTTAGATATATATATATATATATATATATCTACCCAACTAAATTTCAAACCGGTCTTGATCACTTTCCTCTGTGCATAGTTGATGAGGTAAAGCATTTTATTTTTTTGTTAAAATAAATTACCAATTCAAAACTGTGATATATACGTACACACACTAATATAGTGATATATACGTACACACACTAATATATATATATACAGAGAGCTTCCGTTGAGGGATCTCTCAAATTAGCTTATTTGAGGGATACCCTTTGTAGGGCTCACTCCATATTGTAATCCAAACCGTCTACATCTTAAATAATCATTCAAAAATCATCTCTACAAAAAATCACTTAAATCTAACATCGTTTGAAAACTCAATTGTGTTATTGAAATTTTAGTACTTTCTTGAAGCACCGTGTTCTTTGATTTGTAGGATACAATTGGATGTCAAAACGGTTTCCGATTTGTCTAATTTTTTGCAAGGACAATCTATGAATGTAGACTTAAAAAATAGATAGTTTGAACTATTGGAAAAAAAATTCGTAGGATACCCTAAAGGGTGTCCCTCAAATAAAATTATTTGAGGCCCCCCTCGATAGAAGGGAACTATATATTTATATACATACATTTTACATTGTGATTTTTCATAATAAATTCCAAGAACCTAGCTGCCAACTTAACGGAAACCTGTAACCAATTACTAACAAGGGCTTTGACAACTTCTTTAAACACTAAAACACTCAACATTTTTTTTTTTTACCAATAGCAACTCATTTGGGAATGCTCCTGTAAGAAGCGCTTCTACTCACATGCGCTTTTATTAAATAAACATTACTTTTGCTTCATAGCGGGTGGGAAAAATTTTAAATTTGAAAAATTACATTAACCAACCATCTGTTTGGTTGGTCAGTACGCGGATTTAGATCAAATGCCCACCCCTAGGTTTATGTATTTGACCACAAAAAGGTAACATGTTGGGTTTGGGTTTGGAATAATTCCACACGACAGGTTTCCAAGTCTAGTTATGGCGCCATGTTGTAAGTACACCCATAATGAAAATTTGATTTCATCTATTTGTTTCTAAGTAGAATACTAATTGGTCCAACACCAATACTTTCCTTTTAACCACTTGGCAGTATAACAGATGTAGAGTTTTATCATAAAAATGCATTGATGTTATTACTAATATATTGGTCTTTTTTATACTAATATATTGGTCTTTTTTATAAGGGTAATTCAAGCTAAATAAATTGAGTCCAACACATGAATACCTCGTATCCAGTAGAGATCCGGTAATGAGCAAGGTAGGGTAAGTAAAAACCGGGTAATTTTGGTCCTCTCTCTCTCAAATTCAGACCCGTCAGGAAATCATAAAATACTTGACTATTTTTCTCCTCCAAGAAAAATAACTGTTTGACATATGCACATGTGTTAAATTTAATTTATCAAAGAGGGCAATGTCACAGGAAATCCTTAATGAAGCCCAGAAAGGGACAAGTATAATCAGTCCATCCAATGCATCACTGGACATGTCACACAATTTTGTCTAGTAGGAGAATGAGGAAAGAAGTTAAAATTGGCATTGCAAGAAATGAAGGGTTACTGAAGGAGGATTTGGGAATCAATATCAGAAAAAAGAAGAGGGAATGATGATTGAGGATTGGGAGATACAATGGGGTGATAATATACCTAGTTAGACGTTATTTTTACCAGCAGCTGTAAAGTGTAAACTTAAAACAAAAATACGCAAAGATGCCATGGGAAATTCTTATCTGAAGATTATTTATAGAACGAATGTAATATTTACATTCATACATATATACATGTATGTATACATTTCCCTTTCTTGCATGAATTTGCATGCCTCACTTTCCCATAAACTACATCTGTTTTCCCCCAACAAGATGCAGATCCCAATGCATCTAACTAATCTCTCAAAACAATAAAGGAAAAAAAAAACAATCAAACCCTCAAAACTTGCAACTGATCTTGCATAAACAATCTCAATTGTGAGAAACTGTCACCATATTTTGTTCAATCCTTCTGCTGGGCACCATTTAGGTATATATTTTCCATAAATTTTATATTCCAAGATCAAACGTCGGAGAATGTTGTAGGCTAGGATTTTGTGGGTGTATATTGGGAACCATCTGCTGCTTCTGCCTTGGCAGTTCTGATTTCTGTTTAAGAAGCAATGTAGCTTGCGCTTCCACTGCGTCAAGATCAAGGCCCTCAAAAAATAGATCATCATAAAGCACGTTCCCATTTGCATCATTGTGCTGCAAGTCTCTGCCTGCAGCCTCTGCCTGGAGTGAGAACTCTCGCTCCAAGTTGACTGCAGGAACAGATCTTGAATGATGAGAACTCAATTTTCTTTTTCGGCTTTCAATCTCATATCCCGGGGAAACACCAGTTGTACAAGGTGTGCCTTCAGCGTTACAGTTCATTTGGAAGGACTTTGAATCCATCCTGTTTGCCTGATTTGTACAATCGCTTTGAGGAGTTTGGAGAGAGAAGAATGGTTTCCCACAAGAACTTCCAGTTTCAGTTGTCCTCATTGTTGGTGCCACAGAATCAGGTGAATATGTGGCAGAACTGCTTGGCTGCCTCTCCAGGGGTGATTGGGTGAGCAATGAACGCCTGTTCCAAGACATTGAAGAATTTTTTTAAAAAAGAATTTCAGAAGCCCGCACCTCTGGAGGCAAGGATGATATTATAAGAGAGCATTCAATTTTTACTTGCAAAAATATGAGGACATGCCAAAGAGGGCATGCTCCATCCGGAGCCATAATCATACAGGTTACAGAACTAGAAGAGATAATAAATATAAATATAAATAAAAAGCAAAAAGCAATGAAACAAATAAATCCAAGCAACTAGATTGATGGCATAATTCACAGGCGAAATGCAGGAGGATTGGGGTCTGGTAATATATGGGACATATGAACTTTAACTGTCACTTCAGTTTGCAACTAGGAAATCATTTTACTAAGAATAGAATTTCAGCTTACATATCCAAGTGACACAATAGTTGTAAAAAGTAGTTTCAAGAAACGACAACCGCCACCCCTGGTAGGGGGAAGATTAATCTCAATTGAACCTCAATATGGTTGGATAGCCATCCAAATGCATCTTAGATTTTTAAAAACTCTTAAAAGTGGCTGCAAATCAATTTTGAAATCTTTTACTAGGTTCTCAGCACCAACCCATCAAAATCATTGACAAAATGATATCTGAACCAATATGTTACCAAAATAAGTTTTTAAAAAAGGAACAAAGATACCAATAACCATCAGTTGCACCATGGTGGGCTTCCTACATCAGCGACTCAGCCACAGTTTCCATCTATGAAAACTAACATATTTTCCACTAAGAATGTAGATTGTTAAATTTCGATAATGAAAGGCAGTCATTGATTCATCAGACTATATTTATATGGTAATAAATATGAAATCATTACAAAAATTCTAATCCTTCCAAGCTCATTAAACCAGAAGTATCAAATCATAACGGGCCAAATATAATAAATTGCACATAATTTTTATTCTTGTTAAACTATGCCTAATTTCTTATGACAACTGAATGTTAGAGTTTCCTAAGAGACTGAAAACTTTGGAATAAGCACCTCTTTGGACCAGTGTCAGCTTTTTCTTTCAAATGTCACTTGATCACAGAACGATGTTTTATGTGAAACAAGTAAAAGTTGGATACACATTACACTACTAGATTTTCCAAGATGGTAGAATATTCAATAATATGAACTTTCAAAAATACTTTTGGCAACTACTCATGTTCATAGGTTCCTACATTATGCAAAGAAATAGTTCAGTCAAACCGCTAATGGTTTGTGAAGGATACACTGAGAGAGAGATGAATGACCTGTATATTGCCATCATGTCAATTCCACCGCTTGCAAACTGAGTACCGGCAACCGTAGGATTTATCCTGTCATCTATGAAACTATCATTTGAGTAGTTGTCTCGCTCATCTTCCTCATCATCAGAAATATCAGCTTCTGAAGATACCCTGAGTAATTTCATTGGAGTAACAGCACATCAAGTATTACTTTCAACAAAAATTTCATCTTATTATCCACACAAAAATAATAATTAAATAATCAGAAAATATTCTTCTTATGCTTTTACCTAGAAATGCAACTATACAAAATTTGCAAATAACTTAGCTACATGTCATAAATGTATGAACTTACTCAGCTTCCTCCTCAATGAAGACCCTTACATCATCAACTGACTTCTTTTTACCTATGTAACCAAAAAATAAACATATTGGGTAAATAGGTCTCATAAAAAGATTGGAAGCTGAACAGGTAGCATTCCTATAAGTCTTCGGTGTGATTGGACTTTTAGTCATAGAGAGAAGGATCTAGTCTAGTTAGTTAGCATCAGAACTCCAAAAATAGAAAAATAAATAGCAAATAAATAAACGATACTGGAAATTAAAACGAAAGACATACTGGAAACTATAGTCTAATAGACTCTAATTCACTATTCATAATACCTCTGTCGTGCTTAGTACGGAGAGGACCAGCTCTAGAAAAAGATCTGGCAGGGTTTTCTGTTGACCCAACATTTTTTGTCATGCTTTCTCCCCTACTTTTCCAATGATCCCCAACTTTGCGTAACCTTTTAAACTTGCGTGCCTGTTTTACACTTTCCAACTTGCCTCCAGAACTTAAATGCCAATCTTTGCCACACCTATTGTTTGTAAGGTCTGCTAAAACAGTTTGGGCTCTATCAATAGTTGGTGATGTGGAGGTACATCCTCTTATGCTTGCAGTTTCACCCTTGTTATGCAAGGGAGTTTGAATTTCATTATCAACAGGAGAAACAGAGACATTTCTTCCACAGGCATTGCCTCTCATATTGACTTTTTCACTTTTCCCAGGACTTGAACACTTCAATAGTATTCCAGTATGTAATTGGGCAGGCGAAACAGGGTCAGGTTCTAGATACTCATCTGTGTTATTTGATAGTCCTGCATAATTCACATTTATATAAGCATCATCTTATATCAGGGGACAAAAGCAATCCCTAGGAAACCATATCACATTTTGAATTAAGATAAAATTTTACTAATTGCATTACTAACCACTATTATGGATAGGAGACTCTGGGACAACTCCACTTTTGATTAAATTAGTAAGCCGTGGACTGAGCTCACCATCTCTGAAAAAATTATTGTCTTCATCAGCCAGAAATAATGATGCCTTGCTTTCCAGAACATCAGGTGACTCAGAGACACTAGCTCCTTGATTTGACAAATTTCCCTTCAAAATTGGAGTTTGAGGAATTTTTTCAACCCTGCCGACTGATTTCTCCATCCAGGTTTCAGAATCACAACATCGAGACTTAAGTGAAATCTCATTCTTCATGCATGTTATCTGAGTCGATTTCAGATCTCCACTGGGACCAGCTTCAGTAGTTAGTTCTGTGTGGTCTTCATCTGAAGTCCTTGCATGGCAAGAATTTTGCTTCAAGTAATCCAACTTAATAATGCTTGCACTTGTTGACATGGAATGCGATAAGTCTTTCCAAGGAAACACAGGGACAACCATGACTAGGACGTTTCCGGAGGCATCAACAGTTACAACATCTGAACCAAAGAGGTAAGAGTGCTCATAAGGATTTTCACCAGGGAAATTAAGTTCGTTATGCTTCTCCTCAGTTTCCAATGTTCTAGTAGGTGATACTTCAGAATCATCAGGATTCAGAAAATCTGCAACAAAATGTTCAACATTTAGCATCTTCTCCACATTCAATCCCCCAAGCCCCCCAATCCAGAAAAGAAAAGACAAGTGCTTGTTATTATTTAACATGCTGACTAGGCCATAATATTTTACGTTCACAAAACTGAGCAAGGAAAAATCCTCCTACAATTTGTGTTCAATTACCCCCACTCCCCATCCCCCAATGCAGGTGCAGCATCAGGACTTGAGATTAGGAACATAAGCACATGCATGCTTACACATACCAATTTACAGTACAAAAATGTTGTAGAGTATGAACATTTTTTATGGTTTCAGTTCATTCCTTGAGTTAGTTAACCCAAAGAAAAGATAACCAACCTCATAGACGTAGTACTACTTTTATTGTCGGAAGATGAAGAAAAGCATACAGAAGAGAAAAGGATTTATTTCAATCATCAAGCAAGAAAAAGGTTAAAAGGAATTAGTTTCCGAATAAAGTTTAACAGGCATGCACATATACAGAGGAGCAAAAAGTGCGAAAATTTCTAGCTACAAAGTAAAGAATAAGAGGACTCAAAAGGATACAATGAAAGCATATAGCGTTGAACATTTGGTAAAGTTGAAGATGAAATACTAAAATTATAACAAAAAAGGTAATATAAAGTTTATATTATAAACACAAAATGAACATTGAGTTGGTGATATTGAGCATAATGGACCTCTGAACTATTTGTAGAAGAATTATTAGCAATGAAGCAAAATGCTCACGTGTCTCAATGGACCTTGAAAAAAAGTAAAGGAACAATTAACTACATTCGCTAAGCTCGAATTGATTAGCATGCAAATGTGCATAAGTTTGATGCGGGACTTGAAAGCAAGAGTAAACAAGTAAATGCACCTCAGATCTCCAAACAACACGATGAAACTAATCCTAGTAGTGAAGAATCTTTTTCCTTAGTAATTATTTGCACATAATCTGAATAAGGCCTTAAAACAAATGGAAGAATTTGGAATGACAAATTTTCTTCTCATACAAGCCTTTTTGAGCTACCTTCTCCATTATTGTCATGTTGTTCAGCAGTGTCAACTCCCAAGCACTTCTTTAAACATATTTCATCCTGAAAGCATTGAGTAATAACATAAGAAAATGTCATACAACACAGCAAGGCAAACAACTCAACCACATAGATTGAATCAAACCTGAAGAAGGGAAATATTGCTGTCCCTAGAAAAGGTTAGTCCTTGCAAACATTGCATCATATCAATTAACATTGTCGTCCGATGCGAATGCATTACTTTATACACTCTTGAAGGATATGTTTGGAAGTGAGGAAAGGCAATAAGAGATGGTTTCCATGTAATTTCATGGGGGTCAAAATACTTGGCAATTAATGTAGTCTCAGCAACAGTTAATTTGTCTGCAATAACAGGTGTCTGAATAGTGTTATCATCTATCACTTTCTTTCCACGATGAATGAATTGTTCAATTGAAAACTCAACAAACCGGACCTCCGGTTTGAAAATGTGAGGGATCTGCAATAAATAATGACACAATCAAATACGTTTAAAATGCAAGACTATAGCATTAAAAGTCATAAAGATGCAGCCTTAGAAAATCCCACCATCCTCGGACTAGAATGGAAATTGAAGCTATTTCTCCCCCCATTTCGCATGTGTTTCATCATATTCTTACTGTTTCCTTGCTTACGCTTGTAACCCTTCAACTCTGACCCTTCACAGGCTAAAACTAGTACGACTTGTCAAGGATTTAGATTTATTGCAAATGCAATGAAAGGTGTTTGAAAGAAAGTGTAATGAAAAAAAATGGAAAGTGGATTGATACTAAAACTTGGATAAAAGTGGGGGACAAGCAAAAGTTCATTGCATGTTCAGTCTGATCTCACCAACAGCCAACTACAGAACATGCAGTACTCATATGAGAAAAGGATATCAACTCTTCCATCATGCTTCCTTCCAGTTCTCCCCATGCGCTGAATCATTCTCAATGGTGATACATTAGCATCAAAGCATATAACTAGATCAACTTCCATGATATCCAGGCCCTCTTCGCCAATTGATGTGGCAACAATGACATTGTATCCACCAGCACGAAATTTCTGTGGGAAATCTAAGTAAGCCAATGAAAGGTGCTGCGAAAAGAAATAAAAACAACATAGTTACCTCCAAAACAGCTTGTTGAACTTTTTGTGACTGGCCTTTTAATGCTTTCCCTGTAAGAAATTAGAACTCAATCTCATATAATTGTAAGGCAACCACTAAATCCCAAAAGCTTAAGCTATTATGGAATAAGCAAACAATGTATATGAAGCTAATGCCCTCCCTCACTTGCACCCGCATCTCCTGCACATGGAGAGGCAGGAAAACAGAGTCTGGGAGAAGCATATAGGTGCAGCCTTACCTTGCACCTTGCAAATCACTACATAAGTGAGTTGGAGGGATTGGAGGTTTCGAACTCAGAAGTCTCTAAAACCAGAGCTCTGATACCATGTTAGGCAACCTCTAGATCTCAAATGCTTGAGCTATTAGAGAATAGGCCAACTATCTATATCAATTCAACAATAACTATAGGCTAATGGATTATAGGAAAGAACTAAAGTTAACTAAGACATACATATATTCTTGGCTATGCCATAATTGTTTAGATCTAGGACAGTATTGAGATCAACATCTTCTAAGATCTCTTGACAATTATCTTCTCTTTTCCTCGAACATAAATTCATTAAAAGAGGTCAAGGATCTAGCAAGAGGGAGATGGAAGAGAAAGTGAGATAAAGGGGGAGAGAGAAAGAGAGAAAAAGAACACACAATAATTGACAAATAATAGACCAAATCATAAACAACACTTCAAAGGAGAAGGCAAGTCAATGTCATAACCATAACAACACTTCAATGTGTTTTGCCCGCATGCCAGACAACTTTCTTTCTGTTCAATGAGTAGCTTAAAAGATCACTAACAATCACTTCCCAAGTAACAACAATTTCATCTTATTATAAATTTCATTGAGACAAAAAAACTAAATTACATTAAAAATTATATTTAATGGAGACAAGTCAAAATAAAGAGTGGAGCTTCAAACCTGAACTTTGACCAATAAACTCTGTAGCTCTAACAAAATTGCCGATGTTTGCTAACGCATCCATTATGTCCCTGTATGTTTGCTTAATTATAGCCAGGAATATTTTTCACATTTTATATATAAATTGCAATCAGAAACAATAAAATAACAACAAATTAAACACAGAGAAAAGGTGGCACCTGACACTGCCCCTAAAATTTGAGAAAATGATAACCCTTGATTTCTGTGGATCATTTGTTTCTGCAGTCAGATATGTAATTATCAGCAACTGGGAGCTAACACTCTGAATCATACAAAGTCTAAAATTTAAATAATAGGCAGTCCAAATCAGCATTTGATGACAAATATTTGTTACAAAAATCAGCATTTGATGAAGAATACAATATTGAAACCATGAGACAAGCAATGCTTCTAACATTTGATAAGCAGAACTTTAAAATATTAAAAAGGGCATGTTATGGCAAATACAATAAAATTTGGATAACAGCCCACATACTGAAATGATCAAGCAGCACTTCTAACATTTTGGACAACTTGGGACTCGGAGCACCATGAGACAAAGTTTGCTGCATTATGAGCTTAGCTTTAGAAATATCTTCATTTCTACACATATACCTTGCAAATGACCTGAAAAATGACCTTAAACAACTTAATATTCTTGAATTGCTTGTTAAAAACTAAACGCTTAAACTCCATGTCATCGAATTTAATATATAATAGATTAATCACGATACTAGTTATGTCTAAACAAGAAAGTTCTTCCATTGAACTGAATTTTCAAATACTGAATTTCTTTGTTATGAAGTCAAACACCAATTATGATGATGGGACAATGGAGGGTGTGGCCTTCACATAAGACTAAAATATCTTAAAACTTTTGAAAAGTATCTTAGAACTTAGAAAAATATCTGCCTCAAACTTATGCAAGGCGGATTGTTTATGTCTGATACCAAATCAGATCATAAGGTGATTCTCATTTTAACGAATAGCTTGTGACACTTCATTTTCAAGCTGCATTAGTAACATTTCAATGAGAAGGATCCTAATAGATTGAAAAATTCCTGACTCGAAAAAAGACAAAAGCATGATGGTTCGGAATATAATAACAGGCATAGTTATTAGAATGTACGTATGAGCTAAACAAGACAGTGAAGAAATGGAGAAAGCAGATGAAGGGCTTGATGGTCAGGAGACAAGAATATACCCTTGTTTTAATTTTTCTTCAAGCATTTCATATGCTGGCCTTATTCCATGGCTTGATATTAGCTTACGAATGTGGTAAAGCGTAAGGAGTGCTCCAAAATAACCTTCAATGTCTCCAGACTTATTTGGGGGAGGTCTGGAGGTGCTTGACGAAATTTCTCCCTTGAATCAAGTAAATAACATGGGCTCAACTGTAAGAATTCCGCCCCACCAACAAAAAAAGAAAAAGAAGAAAGAGTGAAATTATGTAGACCCAAAAAGAATGTGATTGCATCATTAATAATTAACCACAAAAGAACAAATATATATATATATATATATAAAGATAAGGTAGTAAATCCCATTAATAATTAAAAAAACGATGATAATTAAAGAGAGCCTTTTCTGTTCCTTAAACTAGAGGAATATCTGAGGTACAGCTTCTTTAAAAACCAGTGAATATTTTCCAAAGCATCTACATAACAAACCGAAACCAGAGAAAAACTGTATAATAGGCTAGCAGTATCATAGCCTTGCATTATCATCAGTGAAAAGATACATTTTAGCGAACTTCATCATCACTAAGAGAACAAGACCAGACATTGCTAGAGAAACTGACCACCACCCTGATTGTTATAATGTCTGCTATAGCAGGGCCCAGAACAGAATAAAAATGCAAAGAAACAATCTTGTCCAGCACAGTTCTCCTAGAGGAAATTAGAATTTAAATTATTCTGAAACCATACAGTCTGAACATCTCTAGTTGGGAGAACTCCAATTGCACAAAGCCTGGTTGCAAATGGTCGCATTGCTTCCACGAGCTTATTGTCTATCTCAACAGCTTCTTGACCATTGCGACCTAGAATAATTGCAACAAAAGTTTTTTTCCTCTGTTTTCAGACCCAAAAAATAAAAGTTTTCTTTCCTGTGTACAAAAAATTATTTCTGGAAACAAGAGACATACCTGAATCAACTCTACCTCCCTGTTGTGAACATATTTTTTGACATCAGCATCATCTTCATTGCGATATTCAAGTGTTGATATATATAAGTTATCAATAACTTGCTGGACAGCCTGCTGCTTTGCTGTACGATTGCATGTTACTAAGGATCTAACTTTTAAAATGAAAATTAGTAGAAACCCAGTATATTAGTAACTTACATCCCGGTGTTGCACTCAGAGCTAAAATTCTCAGTTGCACTTGTGCAGCCATTAACTAAAAAACTAAATTATCATTAGTATTTCAAAAGACCAATTTTACCCATAAATAACACACTGAACCAACATTTATCAAGGTAGAACTACAAGAATAATAATGCTCACGATAATTTAAAAAAAACTCATCTGAGCTGGTAAATGGGGAAATATATTAGTTTAGATATAACTGAAAGAAAGAGAACTGACCTCACGAACTGCAACACTGTAAGAATAGTTTCCCAATGCTCTGTGAGCTTCATCAATCACCAAACATACCAAGTATTCGATTGAGCATGTGCCTGCAACGAATTACCTCTGAGAAAAATCCATTGACAAAGTATCTTTCTCAAAAAGAAGAAAATATATCATGCATAAAAACTGGTGGTGGAATATACTTACTTTCTAATGGGAAAATATTAAATAAAAACAATTACTATTTAATTCGGCCATGGAAGCTCTTTAATTGAGAACCTATCAAACTTACAGAGGATTAAACTTTAGGTGTTTATGCAGAGAGTGTGAAGTGCTTCTTTGAGCTAAAACATTATGCATTACATAGGAGTTACCCATCTTCAAAAGTGGGTATTTTTAACAATGCTGAAACTTATACCAAATTTGCATAGCCATTCCCTCTACTCTAGTGCCTTATTGCACATAGGAAACACCTTCTGATGCAGGGTTTACGATATAATGAATGAAATATGGATACATATATATACATATCAAAATCCACCCCTTGTCATTGAGAAAATCCTAGTGTATATAGTTCAAGAATTAATCACCAGACTGAATGTCCTTCTCCAGCACTTGGGGAGTAACAAAGAAAACTCGTTTAGTTTTCCACAAGGATGCTCTTTTTGTAGGACTTATCTGACCTGTCATGTCAATTGTCCATTCCTGCAATCGGTTTGATCATAATCTTCTCACAATATGTAAGTAAATAAAGTTGTCGAGTAAACACCAAATATTCAACAAAACTCTGCTTATAAATAAAAAAGGCTCTTACTTGTGATATTCCTACAATATTATGGCATGCTTGTATCTGTTGCACAACAAGAGGTCGAGAAGGAGCAGCAAAGACTATTTTTCCTGTTGTGGAAAGAACAATGTCAATGTTTCACAACTTTTAAAAATAAACTCGAGAAACCCACAACGTGGGAAACTGAACTAATTTTTTTTTATAGGAAACAAATTTCATTAAGAATAGAGAATGGGACAAAACAATGCACAAGATGTCCACAGGAGCAAGAGAGAGAACTCAGGATAACATCAGCAAGCCAAATGAAAACAGTAGTACACCAACAAAGAAGCAAAAGACACAAATAAATAGCAGCATTCCAGTTTTGCAGAGAAAGAAGCATCCCTAAACTAGGAAAAATATTGAAGCCCACAGAGATGCCCAAAAGCAAACCCCTTGCAACAAATAATGCATCTCTTCACCGCACATCTTCGCAGAACCATACCCTTCTTCCTCCCACCAAAAAACTTATGCCTCTATTTCAGTGATTCATTTTTCCTCTTGCAATTATCTAAATTTTGGTGGGGTGACAAGACAACTACAGATTCGATGTTCAAATTATCTGAACATTACTTTACACATAAAATGTTGGATAAAAGGTGAATGGGCCTTTTCTGTAGGCATAGAGGAGTATTTTAGTTGTTTTTCTGTATTTTCAGTTAGGGTCATTTTGGAATTGTACATGTTGGAAACAAAATAATTCCCGATGGACTCATTTCCTTCCCAAGATCAAGAATCTCATTCCTGAAAAATCAACTTTAATTTCATTGGAGCAAGTAAACAATGGAATAACCTGGATGGGGGATCAATCACATTGTAGCTAAGTTCTAATGTGACAGCCGCTAAAACAAAATTCAGTCCTATGTGGTAGGATCAGACAGGCAACTAAAGCTCTGATTCCATGTTAAGTTCACATTGATCCCAAAAACTTAAATTGATAGGAAACTGGACCAACAATGTTTATCAAGATAAACACACCAATAATATAACAGTTCAAGTGAACCACAGAAAGAAACAGAAAAGAATCAATCAATCAACTTCAGCTTGAAACTCATGCATATACATGTATTTCTCAAGTTGATCATCAAACTATACAAAGAAAACTATCAGATTTGATAAAAACATACAATTTATTTCTTAAAATGAGTAGAAATATTTAACAAACATCTCCAATTTAAAGCAATTGGAAACAATAAACACTTTATAACTCATGACGAACATATTAGATTTCTGCAATAGTGATTCTCATGTAGCATGCAAACCAAATAAGCATTAGTTAAGAAGTACGAATTACATTACCATCAGGGAACCATCTGAAATAGTTATACATAACTACTGCTGCAATAAGTGTTTTCCCAAGTCCAGTCGGCACTACCACCAATGTATTTGAAAATAGTGCCGTCTTGGTAATAGAAAATTGATAGTCACGCCGAGGAAAATTAACTGCATTGTTACAAGTAAGACTAGAAAATAAGTTTAATGTTTGCTACAATAAACTCCAAACAGAAAAAAGGAGTCAAAATATGACCCTCTGCACGCATTAATATAAAAAAGGTGAGTTCATAAGTCAGACTCAAAGAGCCATTATAAGTTTAGATCTCAAGGAGCAATAGATATCTATTACTTTGGAGAAAATGAAACTTTTTGCAATATGGTGGCAACATTTCAATTTGTATCATCGATAACACCACCAAAGTCTAGAAGAAACAATCAAAATCTCAATCTGGGCACAAACACTCACATCCACCCTAAAATGCCCCATGCATTTTAGTTCAATAACATAACCCACTTGACAAAACTTGTACTTGATGGAAATGTCATTAAAAATCTAGCATCCGGAGAAATAAGCTATTTGGTTCATTCAACTAAACTACACCAAAGAATCAAATTTCAACTTCATTCTCCAAAACCTATTCAAATAAATAATAATAATAATAATTAAAAACCAGCTTACCCACCTCCTCAAAACCCAAAATACTAACTTTCACACAGTACCTAAAAGAAAATTACAAAGAGAACGAGAATTTAACCTGGGTACATCCAAGTTTTAGCTGCTTCGGTATCAATTTGAACAGAGGACACTCTGCCATCACCCTCATTACAATCCCGGTTGTGTTCTTCCACATCTCGACTCTCCGGCTGAGGCCTGGGGCAAGCCCTCCCAATAAACTTGTCGAGGGTGGTCTGCCGTGAAGAACCAGGCTTCTTCATGTTCTCAGAGATTGAGGCGACTGAATTTTGTATTGGGGGGTTATTGGGAGGAGGGGCAAAATGGGAAGATTGGTCTGGGAGTGAAGTAGAGGGCTTTGAGGCCTGGGTCTGATAAACAACGTCATTGCTCTAGCAGCTGCTTCCCAATCAAAATCATCATCGTCGTCGTCGTCGATGATATGGTGAGGATTGGTTGAAGTCATTGGAGAGCTATGAAGGGAAATGGGCTGGCTGGGGAGAGAGAATGCGAATCAATAAACCCTTGGAGAACGAGACAGTTTGGCGGCAAAACTTGAAGAATGGCTCGTTTTCCTGGGAGAGGCTAGGAGTTTAATTTAAGGTATCATGGGACCCATGAGTCATGACCATTTGGTAGCACACCAGGGCCTGGACTAGACCCTTTCTATTAGTCGGTCCAATAGCAACAAGACCAAAAGCCCAAAGAAAATCATACGACTCTCCCTCTTTTGGCGGGTTGTCACTCCCGTCTCACTCTGCTCTCTTCCTCTGTTAGAACTCCATGGTGCCCTACCAGCACTGACTCCAATCCCCATCATTGAGCCGACCTCCTTCCTCTTCCCCTGTCTATTTCTCCCAAAACACCCAACCTCGTCCCTGTCTCTGTTTAGCCCAAAACGCCCAGTCGGCTTCTGTTTCGCCCAAAATCGCACAAAACCTCCTGTAATCAGAGCTGCATCGCGACCCAATTCTCTAAGTTTTCTGATTCCCTCCATCGAGACCATCACAGGGCTAGGTAAATGCTATTTCTTGTTTGGCGAATGAATATATATTTTTTCTTTCAATGATATAATTCTGTGACTTTTGTTTTCTATGTTGTTGATTCCTGGGTTTTATCATGTTGGAGTGTCCGTTGTTTAGACTTTTGTTTATCCTCTGAAATAATTTCCTGCTTAATGAACTTTTTCTTTATCCTTCTAGTAATCCTGCTGTTAGTGGTCCAATTTGTTTCTTCATATATCGTGTTTTTATCTATGGCTTATGCTAAACAAGATTGTTACCACTACCATTGATTTTCCCTATTTCCTTCATTTTCTCTCCTTACTCACAATTCAGTTCTCTACTGTTTACTTCATTTAAACAGAAGCTAATAAGTCATTTAAACACAATCCAGGTCAGAATCTAATAGGTCATCTAAATGAGTTTTAATATAGTTTGTATAGATTGAGGATGTAAGTATAGTTGTTTATTGTGGTAGTTTTAATAATTTTCCAGATTATAGGTATGCTTTTTTTCTTCAAATGTTCTTTGTTATTCAATTCCTAAAAGTATCTGCATTTTCCATTTTGATGCTGCAGATTGGGGCAGCTTTTGGATTCTAGCTGCATACAACTTATTTAGCTGTTACTTGGATCGGTTTCTTCAAAGCTAACCATAGATGTAAGCCCAAAACATCGGTCAAGGGGACAAGAGGGTCAGTTTAACTTGTGGGGTATCATGTGGGATTTGATTATACTGTCGGGGTTAGGTTTTGTTCAAACCAACACTGTTGTCTTAAGTTTGGGCTTGTGCTATACTACTCGCTTGTTTTCCCCCAAATTACTAAATGAAGACACCTCTTTGAAATTTGAAGAGGCATTAATCCATATTCCGGAGGCACATGCTGCAAATTTGGGCAAAGCATTCTATCAGTTCTTGCCTACCATGATATTACATACAGCAGATACTTCTCCAGTGTATGCCATCGTCGTTTTCTCGTTTCATCCCAAGGGGCCTTTCTCTATCCCAAATCCAACGCTTCATACCTAAAAGCTGGAAACGAGGCACCACCCAATTTGAGAAACCATCAGCACCGTCTATTTTCGAAACAGGTTCATCCGTTGATGATTCTATGATAGATTCTCTTCTTATATCCATTAAGAACTTTGCAAGCGAGGGTAATTTATCAAAAGCATTCAAAGCTTTCTCTCTTCTCAAGCTCCATGGCTCTTCTGCCACTTCTTGTGACCTTATCTTGCATCCCATCTCTTCTCTTCTCTTGTCTTGCGCCAACCATAAATCTTTCCCACAGGGTGAACAGCTTCATGCACATATTGTCAGATTGGGTTTTGAGCGACACCCCATTTTGGTTTCCAAGCTGGTTACTCTTTACTCAAGCTTTAATCTCCATGTTGATGCTCATATTGTCATTGAGAATTCAAATATATTGCATCCTCTTCCTTGGAATGTGCTCATCTCTTCATATGTTAAAAATGAACTTTTGGATGAGGCTCTCTCTACGTATAAACAATGGTCAATAAGGGGGTTAGACCAGATAGTTTCACTTACCCATCTGTTCTCAAGGCATGTGGTGAAAAATTGGATATAGGGTTTGGGAGGGAGGTGCATAAGTCAATCAATGCTAGTTGTCAGGATTGGAATTTATTTGTGCATAATTCATTGGTCTCCATGTATGGGAGATTTGGGCTTGTGGATGTTGCTCGTCACTTGTTTGACAAAATGCCCACAAGGGATGAGATCTCTTGGAATGCAATGATATCTGGTTATGCCTCCAAGGGCATGTGGACGGAAGCATTTGAGCTGTTTGGAAGCATGCGGATGGAGGGTCTTGGAGTTGATATCTTAACTTGGAATACCATAGCTGGAGGATGCTTGAGGACAGGCAATTTCAAGGGTGCACTTGAGTTGCTTTCTCAAATGAGAATCTGTGGTATTTTATTGGACTCGGTAGCATTGATTATTGGTTTGAGTGCTTGTTCCCACATTGGAGTCATTAAGTTAGGGAAGGAGATTCATGGTTCTGCAATTCGTAGTTGTTGGGATGGCTATGATAATGTTAAACATGCATTAATTACAATGTATTCCAGGTGCAAAGACCTTAGGCAAGCCTATGCTTTGTTTCAATTGATAGAAGATAGAAGTATAATTACTTGGAACTCCATGCTTTCTGGTTATTCCCGCATGGACCGAGCTGAGGAAGCTTCATTCCTATTTAGGGAGATGTTGTGTTCTGGAATTGAACCTAATTACATTACAATTGCCAGCATCCTTCCCCTCTGTGCTCGGGTAGCGAATCTTCAACATGGGAAGGAGTTCCACTGCTACATCACAAAACGTGTAGTGTTTGATGATTATTTACTTCTGTGGAATGCTCTTGTGGACATGTATGCCAGATCAGGCAAAATTTTAGAAGCTAAACGAGTATTTGATTCAATGTCTAAGCGAGATGAAGTAACTTATACTTCAATGATTGCAGGATATGGAGTCCAGGGTGAGGGAAAAGCTGCATTGAAGTTATTTGAAGAGATGAACATGTTACACATCAAACCTGATCATGTAACCATGGTTTCAATTTTATCAGCTTGTAGCCATTCTCGTCTTGTAATCCAAGGCCAAATGCTTTTTGAAAAGATGATGAGTGTATATGGTGTAACTCCCCGTTTGGAGCACTATGCTTGCATGGTTGATCTTTACGGGAGGGCTGGTCTATTAAACAAAGCAAAGGAGATTATCACAAGGATGCCTTACAGGCCAACTTCTGCAATGTGGGCTACTCTTCTTGGAGCTTGTCGGATCCATGGAAATATAGATATAGGGGAATGGGCAGCCGAGAAGCTGTTGGAAATGAGACCTGAAAATTCTGGTTACTACGTGTTAATTGCTAACATGTATGCTGCTGCTGGTTGTTGGAACAAGCTAGCGAGAGTGAGGACTTTCATGAGGGACTTGGGTGTGAGGAAGGCTCCTGGCTGTGCTTGGGTTGATGTGGGCGATGGATTCTCCCTGTTTTTGGTGGGGGACACAACAAATGAGCTGAGAAATGACATTTACCTTCTGTTGGATGGATTAACTGAGCTAATGAAAGATGCTGATCCTGTTGTCAATGAGGATTTTAGTTCAGGTTATGATGTGTTTGAGTAGTAGTATGGAAAAAGGGAACTAATTATACTAAACAAAAGGATTGCTAACATATCTCATCTGAATTGATTTTGGTTCTTTTATATAGGCCATCAAACAAAAAGTTTCTATGCGTGGCAAATTTCCCTATCAAATCTCATCTCCCCTAGCAATCAAGTAATTGAAGCACCAACCAACCTGCTATAAGATGTGTCATTATAACGTTCTAAAGGGAAATTGCAATGAGACTGGTTGCGCAGCCTGGTGACGAGCTCTATTCTCGTCTTGACTCTCTGTCAAAAGAAGGAAAAAAAACCTTGCTGTATAAATCGTGACAAAAAAAATTTGTGTCATCTGAATTTCAATTTCCATTTAAATTATAAAAGAATTAAATTTTTTTAAAAAAAGTTTGATATGTTGTTATTTGATGGAGCACCAAACACAAATAACTTGGTCAAACTATTTATTTGGAATAGTATCCAACCCCTTAAATTAGTTCGTACTCTCCGGAACAAATTAATAATATCCGACATAAATTAGTTAGTACAGTCCAACGTACCAAACGGGTCCTTAGGCACATAAAGAAATACAAACATAAAATAAAATAAAATAAAAACTCTAGAAATGCCGAAAAATAACAAAAGCCATCAAGAAAAGCAAGAAAGAAACCTAAAAAACAGAGGTTAAAAAAAAAACCAATAGAAAATAACACATGAAAAAAAATGTGAAAGAAAAATTACCGTTGTCCACCCATGGATAATGTGAAAAAAATTGTGAAAGCAAACCTGTGTAATCGATGCCAATCAAGAAGTTTGGAATGCAACGAGGAAGCCAGATCTATGCTAATAACCGTTTTGGTAGACAGTAAAAAGGTTTGTGAACACCAAGAAGCGTTTGGTAATCGTCCTCCAGACAGCAGACGCGATGAAACTCAAAATTTACGTGCGTTAGTTTAACGTGTCATTAGCGAGGGAGTGGCTGGGAGATGCCGCTGCTGGAGAGCCCTCATGGAGTAGAAGCAGGAATGACAAAGCGCTAATTAACAACTACCGGCCAAACCAAGCACATTTGTTTAACGTGTCATTTCTCAGCAAAGAATCGAACCTTCCAAGTTTCGAGAGATGATAATGTGGCAAATGACATCAACCTGCCATATTATGTTCCACGTGTTGGTATTAAAAAGTAGATAAACAAGTTGGTGTCGTAGCATTATTGAAAAAACAACAAAAAGGTCTCCTCCTCCCCTATATCATGCTATAATAAATTGATAAGGGTATTTTAGGAAGAAGAAAATTACAAATCTGACTCATCAAGTAACTTATAGCATGTCCACCTGATTTATCAGCAGTTACTACCAGAGTGTAGATGTTAGAATACTTTTGGTGGTGCTGGGTCTTATATTTGTATTGGTAACAACTGCAGAAATATAATTTTTGGCGTTGAAATTAGTGTGGTTTATTTTCCACATCAACAGGAGTACTCTGTCTGCTTTACAAATATAATTTTTCGTTGGCGTTTAGATAGTATTCCAAGTTTTGTTTCTAATTCGGCATTCTAATTTTTGGAGTTTTAGACCATTTATAAAAATAAAAACAAACAAAAAAGAAGAAGAAAAGAGATATTGAAGGAAAAGAGATCATACAATTATGTACCCCCAAAAAAAAACACAAAAGGCAACTCAGCAATCAAATTTCGATTATTACGAGTCAATACACAGTGAGATGAAGAGACGTAATCACTAACGGGAGCTGGGCAAGCAAGAAAACAGGTTCAACACAAGCGCAGGGAATGTAGATCCTTCAGAAAGACAGTACAAGCAAAGCGCAAAGCACGTGAAGGGGCTTACCATCTAAATTCACAGAGATGTATGTGCACAGAAAAGAGGATGTAGAAACAAGTAATACTTCCTGTACAGAAACCTGAACCAAGCACACTGTACTACCGGCCAAACCAACCTCTAGGCGGCTGGACTTCCCCGTCATTCATCAGCTTATCTAACACCACATTCACATCAACTGCTTGGCCATTGTCCGTCAGCTTCCGAATCGTCGCCCTAACATGGTCTCTTGGAAAACCCATAGTTGTCACATGATCAATCACATCATCAATGGGAACCTTGTTTCCAGTCCCAGCTGAACCTGAAGAACCACCCACCCTAGAAGAGGCAGGCGATGCATGAGGCAATACTCGAGCAACTGGGAGCTGTGGGTAACCAATTCCTCCACTGTGAGCTGTGGCAGAAGAAGGCATTCGTGGTTTCATTGAGGAACTGTCATCTTGAAGTGATCCACCGTAATGATATGTCTCACCTAGCGCAGATGCAGGACCATACCCAGAAGAAAATCCTATACTGGATTTGCTAGATAGTGGTTCATAGGCGTGGGAACCTGGACCATAATACTGTTGGGAGGGAGAGAGCCCACTGGGTGTCTGATAAGGTGGCTGGGGAAGATTGGGTGGGTAGCTTAAGGAAGGAACATAAGGTGCCTCTTCCGCATGGTGGCCTAATGTAGGCCGGAGTTGAGAGGGATTAACAGGTGCAAGTGAAGGGTGCTGTTGAGGCAGCTGAGGTGGTGGCTGAGAATGCTGTGGTTGAGTGGTAGGTTGAAATTGTTGATGTGGTGCTGCTGTAGGAGGGGGGAGTGACTGCTGACTTGGAGGTAACTGGTATTGCTGATTTGGGGCTTCTTGAGTTTGACCAGGTGCTGGAAAATAAGGGTCTCGCTGAGGGACAGGAGGTATCTGATTCTGAGAAAACTGATTTGGAGGCGGAACTAAAGGTAGTACACTTTGGAACATAGGTTGTGGAGGAGCATTTGGTGGAGAGACAGCAGGAAGTGAAGATGGAAGATTCACAGGGTGAGGAGGCTGTTGGCGAGCTTGCGTAGATTCAGAAGCTACTGTCTGCCCAGAAACTTGCGATTGAGTGTCTAACTTGGAATTTGAAACCTGCGTCTTCCCAAGCTGGAGCTGGGTCTCTACTATTGCTTGTTTATCCTTCAATACCTGAATACCTGTTTGCACCTGTGTGTGATATTGACAATAACCAAATGAACCAGTGAAAAGGAATAACCACATTAGCAGAATAAAGAAAAGAGTAGCATAAACACATATGTTAGTATGCTAATAAACAAATGTCAGTTTTCATGCTTAATAAACTTAGTGCTTTTTTGCACCTTCACAAACAGGCAAGTGACCTTATTGACAACACCTTGCTCTAAGACATTCATTATTGGAGTCATCTTTTAGGGGTAAAATTCTACCACCCAACACAATTTAAATGTCTAGAAGATTGAAGATTTTAAGCTTTTCAGATTTGGTGAAAGCATGTGCAATGCGTAACCCTGCTTCACTCTACATAGTTCTGGAATCACAAGGAGAGATACTGTAACAAATAGAGAAAAGGAAATAACTAATGGTGTTCCTGCATCTATCTCATTCATGCTGCCAATGGTATTTATAAGATTTCCAGTTGAACAGAAGTCATCTGATTGATAAAATACCAAATGCAAGGCAATATGTCAAGCTCACACCAAAAAGAAGGGCAAAGAGGCAACATACATCTCTAAGAACATTCTCCAACTGTCTCATCTTTCCATCAGTGTTCCCATGATTGTTTCCCACAGATATCTTCAAATCATCTACAGAATTTTCAAGGTGGCGGGTTCTGCTCTCTAGTTGTGTTAGTTTCTCACTAACACCTTCCAACACATGGAGTAAACTATCGACATGCTTCTTCATGGTGCGGTCAATCTCTGACACAATTGTAGCATCAGGAACATTTTGGTCCTTCTCTAAAATAAGCTCTGACGGTTTAATGGAATCCAGAGAACCATAATTCTGTATAAAAAATGGAAAGAGTAGCACTATATCAGTGTAAATAAAGTAAATGCCAAGCTCACATTCAATTATCAATCAGCAATAACTACCTAAAGTCTACTACACAGCAGAAAGGTTTATTTAGAAAACCAAGGGAAGGCTACTATACTGGAAAAAGGGGAGCAATGTAAAGAGGGTAAAACCATTCCGATAAGCCCCCAAGTTTTTATTTGATTTGTACCCTTTTCTAACTGTAAAAGACTTAGATAAAAAAGCCCATTATGATAGGCATCAAAACTTTTGAAAGCATCATCTGCAAATAATCTACTCTCTAATAAATGGCAACAAAATCATTCAAAACTCTATCGCCTAGTTCATTCACTGCCCTCAGGAAATTCGAGTACAGTAACTTACAAAACATTTAACTCCAGCTGAAGCCTGAAACATATCATGCAAATTTACAATATGCTAATAAAAAACATTATCAGACAATCTCACTACCATAGTAATAAACACAATTATCAATTCCCTAGAACACTAACCGGTAACTGTATGGACAAAGAAAGATAAAGAGTGAGATTCTGAGGCAGGTTAATTACTCTGATAGGAGACGTAGTGTTGGACTTTGACTCGGAGGAGTTCCATGCCCTAGTGGATCCTTCTCCTCCACCTCCAAGATTATGTTTGGCATCAATATTTGGGGACTGGAAAGAAGATCCGATGATGGGACTAATGGACTGGAAATAGTTGGATAAGATCTTGTCCTTCTTGGAAAGCCCATTACCGTAGCCCACCTGCTGTTCCACCTCTTGGGGATGGTTCATCAGGCCGATGAAGTCATTCTGCTGCGATGATCCTTGCGAGAGATCCATTATCTGCTTGTCCAAGAACGACGTTGTAGTCATTGGTGCTGTAATCAACAGAAGGTTTTTTTTCTTGGCCACCACAAGTTCCCAAGTCCCAGTTGCAGCAACCAAATCACTTGTTGTCTATGAAAATTTCAGTGAAGGAAACTAGAAAGAGAAAGAATAATCAAAGTAGTCAATATCAAGGAAACAAAAAAAAAAAAAAAAAAAAAAAAACAGAACACAATATCTCAAACTAAGTAAAAGAATTTCCAGTACACATGAGGTTATTCATTTTCAGTTCATGATTCAGGTATTAAACTGAGCAGAAGATAATAAGATTCAAACAAGAAAAACAATGAAATCCTTTTACCAAATTCAAGTACGGAATTTGCTTAAATGCCAAGCAAAATTAATCGAATTGACCTTATGGACCTATATGAAAATTCTGAATTTTCAATCCCTAGGAATTGCAGTAGCCGAAAACAATTTAGGCTTAGAACATTTTTCATAGGCGACGTAATAATAAAATTAAAGAATTAAACATAAAATTCTTACAGTGTTCTTGATGAATTGAGCAACCACTGCGTCCTAAAGCTTCGCACATATAGATTGATTCAGCTCCGCTGCCTGTTGTCTATGCGCAGAGGGCACGGAAGGAAATTTCGGGAAGGAAAAATAGTTACAGCGGGAAGGGGGTAGGATAGTAATAAAGAGGTGATTGAAGGGGTTTGTTTGAAAGCTGTTAAGAAAGAAAAATATGTTAAGTGTAGGATCACTCGTTAGAATAACTAAAGATTATTTTTTGATAGTTTGTCGCCAAATGGTATAGGTTATGCTTAAAATATTTCTCAAGGAAGCTTAAAAAGAGTTTTAAATATTTGAACAATTACTTTTATGAATCATCTTTTATGGATCAAATTAATATGAATTTCATTGCTTATGTTGAAAGTGGAACCCAATGCCTTAGTGTTTTAATCAATTAAATTTTCTTTAAATCAAATTCTATTTAAATCTACTTCTCAATCAAAATTGTTCTTTTTTAGCTCTGTTATTTTCTTTACATCGCTCTCTGTGGATACAACACTCAGACTTTCGAGCTACACTACTATACGACATCTCCCCTTGGGTTTTGCAAAGTGGTACTAACAACACCCATATCTATACTACTCACATTATTATCAGCACATGAAGATACAGTAATGATACATAATTACAATATTATAATATCAACACATTAAGATACATAAATCATTTTTAAAAAAAACCACATTAAGATACATATTATCAATAGTGTCCATAACAAGTTGATGCATGATTTGGTTCGAGACATGGGCAGAGAAATTGTACGTGCACAATCCCCTAACATCCCTGGAAAATGTAGTAGATTATAGCATCATGAAGATGTAAAAGACGTATTGAGGAACAAATCTATAAGTATATTTGCAATCCGATTGTTTAAATGCATGTAGTTAGAGAAGTATATGCATATCCTACATCTAATAAATTTAATGCCTTGGACGTGCCAACAATATACAATACAATGTAGTGTATACATATTCGATTACGGGGTTAATTTTTTTTTTTTTATCACTAAATAGCCAAATTGATCATTGTGTAACCCAACATTTACAAATTTACATAAATATACCAGTAGTATATTAGTAGTTTTTCGTTAAATAAACTGAGAGAGTGACATTAAAATAACAATTAAAGATCTTTTTGGTAACTCGGTTTTACATATAATTTCAATTTGGTCACTAAAAAAAATAATGTAGTCAAATTGGTCACTAGTATAACCCAACGTTACAATAGCGCATGAGCTACTTAACTAAAAATAACGGCATCTATATATATAAAGCAAAAGGCAAAGAAATGTGTAACATTCAAAATACCAGAAAATACCATTGATTAATTCAAACATTAAAAATTGAAATTATTAATTAAATGAGGATAATATGATAAATCCACATTTTTTTTTCATATTAAAAAAATTAAAATTAAAAACAAAATCAGATAATAGGTCCTATTTTTATGAAACATAACTACCCATGTTATCTTTTCTTAATTCTAAAAATAAAAGAAAAAAAGAAAAAAGAAAATCAATTGGCACATGTGTGAGCGTGTGAGAGGCTAGTGTCTATAAATTGTAAACTTCGGATATATAGAGAAGAGGGGAACTGGTTATATTGAATTATCTCAAAATATTTTAATTGAATTATATGGCTTTCCAGACGTACCCTTTTCTTACTTCGTTCCTTTTTCTTTTTTTCTTCTTTTATTTATTATTATTATTTTTTTGCTTCTAACAAGGAACAGAGGAAATTGAAGCACTCACTTTAGATTTGCAAGAATCTGAGGATCCTAGCTTCAGTACAGAAGCATTTAGAAGGATGTGGAAATTGAGATTGCTCAAACTCAACTATGTACAGCTGACTGGAAGCTACAAGCATCTTTCCAAAGAGTTAAGATTTTTATGTTGGCATGGATTTCCTCTGGAGGTCATACCAAAAGATTTTTATCCAAAAAACCTAGTTGCTATATTGACATGAGCTATAGCGAGCTCATACGAGTTTGGGAAGATTCCCACGTGGTACAGTATAATCATAACCTCAACCAATTCATTAATCCGTTCCTCCAGGCTTTCTCTCTTCTATTTGATTTTTTATTTTTGTTTTCCGTTTTGTCTAACAGTTTCTTTCGGAGTTGAAGGCTCTTGTTCTCAGCCATTCTGATTGCCTGAAAAAATTACCCGACTTTTCCAGACTCCCATCTCTCGAGGAATTGATACTCAGAGGCTGTAAGAGTTTGTCTTGGGAGCACTGTTCCATGATGAGACGGTTGGGCAAGCTTAAATTGTTAGATCTTGGGTATTGCAATTTAACTGAGGACGAAGTTCTTGCACATCTTGGGCGTATACGTACTTTAAAATTTTTAGGTCTGGAGGGAAATGGTTTCAAATGGGTAGATTTCCTCAGAGATCTTTCCGAACTTGAAGAGTTAACTTTAAATGATTGCAAAAACCTTCAACGAATCAGTGATTTACCAATGACTTTGAAATTCCTGAAAGCGAATTACTGCACTGCACTAGAAAGCATTGAATTTGTTTCACACATGTCGAATATGAGAGAATTGGATCTGAAGGACTGCCGCAACCTCGACGATATTCCAGGCTTGGAAGACTCGTCAAAATTCACGGAAACGATTCATATGGAAGGCTGCACCAATCTCAGTGCTCGGTTTAGGAAGAACATACTAGAGGTAATCTCTCTTTCTCTGACTCGCATGCATACATTCACGAACAATCAAGATTTGTAATGCTTACACAAAACTTTCTCCACATGGTATAGCGATGGGCCGTGAGCGGAGGGGGTGGCCTTTTCTTCTCTGGAAATGATATTCCTGTCAATGAGGATGAAATTGTCTATATCGATGTGCCGTATTCTGACATAGGTGCCTTGACTCTGTGTATCATTTATTCCTCAGACGACTCGCAGTCTAGTGGGAGACTTTCTTTGACTGTTACAAATCGTACCCAGCGCACTGTGTTTTCCATATTTCCAAGGACTGTCTCCGGAGTGACTCCCCATGAAGATTATCTCTGGCTTGGACGTATACCAAACAATGGGCTCAATCTGAAAGGCGGGGACAAGGTTCATGCTCGCGCAGAATTTTTAAGAGAAGAGGGCAAGAAGCATTTGAAGTTGAAGAAAACAGGACTCTCTCTCTCTCTCTCTCTCATATGTGTGGTTATGTACATTATTTTGGTTTTTTTATTTGATTGAGTCTTGCTTTTTTTGGTCTGATGTTAATTAATAGAATGATTATATTCGGCAACCATAATGAAGTTGTTAATTCACCCTCCATTTATTTTTTTTCTCTGGTCTTGATTTTCACTTTTTTGTTGATATCGGGTGTTGTTAGCAGTAATTGGCTTCCAGGTATTTCAAACTTGTTGGTAAATCTTCACGCTTGGAAATGCCATTGAGGATAGGTAGGTAGCCTAGTTAAACAATTTCCATTCAGACGTAAACTTGTTAAAGAAGATAGACTGCCAAGATCTTTAAGAACTACATCTTCAGTTAAATTGCCTGAGGGTTCTTCAGTGATAATACTGACTGGAGATCCCAGACAAACTCTTACAACCTCTGAGTATAAATTCCTCGAGATATCGTAGTCTTGAAAACTTGGGTAATTGTTTCAGGCGGGAGGAATGTCTGAGATCAAGAGACTTCAACATCCAAAGAAACTGTTAGAAAAACCAAAAACAAAAAAAAAAGAATAAAAAAAAGAAAGAAAGTATGATGCTGATACTTACAGAACCTGATGGAACAGACTAATAAATTGGTTTGAGGTTATGAATCTATGATTATACTATACCTGGTCAGAACCTCATTGTATATTGTTGGCACGTCCTGGGCATAAAAGTTAGGGAGATTCACTATTATACCCAATATGGGGGCCCAAATTATAAAAATACCACATATGAAATGGACTTTATAAACACACTCAAAGTCTATTTACAACATAACAAATAGGCTTTAACTTCTTATAAATTACAAAACTACCATAAATTTCTTAAAACAAGCCCAACCCCAAAATCTTATAAAAATACCCAAAACACTCAATAGGGCATTAAAGTAATTTAATAATCAATATTAAATTTAATAAGACCAGCTGTTATTTTTTGGGTTTTTTTTGAGTTTGTTTATAGAATTTCAATAGTGTAGGGTTTATTTATAATATTAGTACTAAAAATGGGTATATCATTAAATATCTCTAAAAGTTATTAGATGTGGGATATACATATACTTCTCTTTCGTTACCTACATGCATGTAATACAATTGATCGCAAATGTTACCAATTGGTTCCTCAGTAGGTGTTTTACATTTTATGATTCCACAATCTACTAGGCCTTCCATGGATTTAAAGATTTTACACGAATGATTTCTCTGTCCATATCTTGAACCAAACCATGCATCATCAGCTTGTTTTTTACCACCAACAGTTAAAAGGCTCATTCCTATTACTGGAGAAAAGCCACAACCGTCCAATAAATGCACGACATAGTTCTTGTTCATTCCAATGAAGAAACAAAGATATATCAAGCAATGTATCTCTCAGGCAATCATCAGCTAGCTGAACATAGCTTATTTTGAGCTTCACGTGAGTTTCCCTAGGACAAAGTGTTTTCAATTTATCCAATGCAATTCCATTCTCTTGTGCTTTTTGTAAATAGAGAAGAAATCAATGAGAGTGCAAATTCCCCGCCAAATATGAAAATAAATCAATGAGATTGCACTACAGAGCTGTTGGACATATAGTCACCTTTGCAGTTTAATTGAAAAAAATTAAAAAGCAATTCAAATCTGGCTGTTGGATAGCTTACACGTGGCATCAGCTGCCTTCAACAGTGGCTAACGGCTGGGGTCCATCTTGGGCTTCATTTTCACGTTGGCTGCTCGCTCAGCATCGGATAGTCGGCTCCACCATTTTGAGTGCGACTGGAATCTCGGGCTATATTCCGCTTTATCTTGGGTTTGGGGGAAATTTTGATCTGGCCGGTAAACAATTTGCGCTAGAACTCAATTTTTGGCTTTGGCCTGCCCCAGTTCGAGATGGCATAAGGGTGTCGTCATGCTGATGAGAGAAAAACCCATGCGGGATAGGCGGCAAACTGGCTGGGGCAGGAGACAATAAGCCTGGAAAGTGATGCATTTCATCAATTTTCAGGGATCCTCCTCCTCCTTCTCCTCTTCCTAGATCTTCAAGATTATTACAAATACTGTTTACACCATAATTAACCAAGCGTGCCTAGCACCGAAGTGACTAACACCAAGGCAGACATGCCTTCTTCCCTGCCAAAGGGAGATGCTCCTCCGAAGGGACAACCACCTGCCGAAGCTCCGAACTGCCAAACCTAAACACAGGAGACACGTGCCATCATCACAGCAACTTGCACAAAGTCCCACATCGAAATTTTGTGCAAACCTCCTACTTTTACTTCCCTATAAATAGGGAACAGTAACCAAGAAAAGGGGTAACTTTTCTCTCACTATTACTGTTACTTTGCAACAGTTACTATCCCTAGCTAACTCAAGCATCGGAGAGCCTTCGGCCGGCACCACACCGGTGTCCGAAACTTAACGACTGCTTCTCCTATTTTTGTCTTCTACAGGCTAACCCTTTACTGAAGGCCCAGGCCCTTCTCTTGCTAAAGACAAACCCCTATCTCTAAGTTGACCCTCTCCAAAAGAGAGCATCAACAGTTTGGCGTCGTATGTGGGAATCTAATACTTAAAACCCATTTTTCTCTACCAGCCCAGCTGGCTCCTTCACCCATCCGGCCCCGTCGCCTCTTCTTCACTCCACACTCAGCCATGCCTACTGAGGATAGCCACGATGCCCAGCGCAATACCCCCAGGAGGGTACCTCCTAGAGGGGACCGTCGGCGGAGGTCAATCTCCAGGCCGAGGTGGAGCTCCTCCGCGCCAGTGTCGTCAAGATGTCCGAGAGGTGTGACCATCTTCATTCCAAGAACGTTGAGCTGGAGCACGACTACCGCATCATGAAGCGTAACTGGGAAAGGAACCAAGCCCAGGGCTCCCAACGCAGCCTTACCCAGGAACCTGAGCGCACACAGCCAAACAGCCGGAGCATTCCCACCATAGTCCCCCAATCCAGCCTAGGCCCAGCAAGGGTAAAGGCCCCCTCCATCCGGAGACGACCAAGTCACGGCTTCTCCGTATCTCCCCGCCGAGGAACCGACCTCATGAACCAACGAAGGTCTATAGGGATTGTAGGGACAGCATCCTGGACCGTCAGGCGGGACCCCTTCTTATCCCCGTTAATCTCCAAGACCCAAAGGTGACACACCTAGGCCCCCCACCAAAGCCAACCCATGTGCCTACAGGGGAGGGTATGGGGGACTCGGATAACTGGGGGCATGATTACTCAGAAGAGCACGAGTCTTATCACACCGAGGAGTTCAGTGGACCTGACCCTTATCTAGCCCTTGGCCACCCACACACCAGACCTCCAGCACCCGAGACTCTCCCTCATGCCGACCCGGCAATGAGACTTCTCTTTGAGAAGGTCCGACGCTTGAAGAATGAGCAGCAGCGCAACCACCAACCCCTCTGGGCGAAGCCACGACCTGGGCCCTTTACCGAACGCATCCTTAATTACCACTAGGAGAAGGAAATCCAGCCTCTCCGCATCGCCTTCTACACTGGCACAGAGGATCCCCTTACCCACATACATTCTTTCCAGTCTGCCCTGGGGTGCAAAGGCTTAACCGACAAAGACATGTGCCTCATCTTCCCATCCACTCTTAGCGGTGCGGCCCTGAATTGGTTCTACAGGCTGAGCCCCCGTACCATAAATACGTTTGACAGTCTGAAGCAGGCCTTCCTGGACCATTTCATGATCCAGATTGATCGCCTCTACTCCGCGGACGACCTGTACATGCTTAGGCAGGGTGAGGATGAGCCCCTTCGGGAGTATGCAGCCAGGTTCAGCCACGAGTACTCCCACTGACTGGAGACCGATGATCGTGCCGCCTTTGGTGCTTTCAATAATGGCATCCGAGAGCCCAACTTTCGATACCTAGTGCACAGCAACCCTTAGAACACATATGCTGAATTAATGAAGCAGGCAGCAGTTCATGCCAAGGCTGAGTACTTCAACTCCAAGCGTGGCACGGCCACCTCGGCACATCATCCTTTCGCTGATCCCCCACTTGCTTCAGCACCCAACTCAGCCCTGCCTCAACATTCTACTCCCGCCCCAAGTACCCAGGGTACCCAGCACCCCAAGCGGAAGGATAACTACCAGCATACCTTCAACAATAGCAAGCGGGGCAGACATAGCAACCACCACCAGTCCAGTAGGGGCAACCCACACAGGGCAGGTGATTGGGCTCCACTCCTCTTCTCACCCAAGCCTAGGTTCGAGGTCTTCACCACCTTGAACACTACCTACGAGAATGTCCTAGTGCACGAGGCACCTATCATACCCAAGCCTCCCCCCCGAAGACTAGGCGGCAAGCCCATGCCCAACACGGGTGTCTTCTGTCGCTTTCATCAGTTCGGTGGACACGTGAGGGGAAACTGGATAAATACATGCACAATCTCCCACCCCCACCTAACCCTCACCAACGGCAGATCAACATGATCACAACTATCAGTGGTGGTCCCACCCTGGCTGGAACCTCCAACAACTCCATTAAGCATTATGTCCGCTCCACCTATACGCACCAGGTCTTCAGTGCTGAGCAGGGACGCTTGCCGAAGACCCATAAATCAGGCTGGGCTCCCATTACCTTCTGTGAGGAGAAGGAGCGCGGTGTTATTCTCCCCCCCAATCATTATCCGTGCCGACATTTCTAACTTTGATGTGGGGCGTATCTTGGTGGACACTGACAGCTCAGTCAGTGTGATGTTTGCTGAGGCCTTCAACGAGCTCCAAGTCCCATCTCACCTGCTCGACCGAAGCATTACACCCTTGGTGAGCTTCTCTGGTGAGGTGGTACAGCTCATTGGAAGCATTCATCTCCCAATCTCTATTGGATCAGCACCCTGGCGGAGGACAATCACCACTCTCTTCCTCATTATCGACTGCCCCACAGCCTACAATGTCATCCTCGGCCGCCCTGCCATGGCCCAAATGAAGGTCTTCATCTCCACCCATATGCTGCTGCTCAAGTTTTCTACGCCTTATGGCATAGGCATGGTGCGCGGAGACCAACTTGGCGCCCGAAGCAGCTACGCTTCAGCAGTGAAGTCTACTAATCGCCAACAACGGGGCGAGGCCCTCGTAGTAACCCAAGCTCCAGCCCCGGTTCAAGCTGGAACCGAGCGCCCAGAAGACCCCAGAGAGGAATCTGTCACCCCACAGGCCGAACCTGTGGAAGATCTTGAGCTGATCACTCTCGATGAAGACATCCCGGACCGACGGGTCAGGATCGGCACCTCCCTCTCACAGGAGCTTCGTTCTGATCTTGTCGCCTTCCTTCGCCTTAATTATGAGGTCTTCGCCTGATCGTACAATGACATGCCTGGCATATCACTCGAGATCATATCCCATCGGCTAAACATTAATCCTGCCGTCCGATCCGTTCGGCAAAAGCGTCGTGCTTATGACCCAGAGCGATATGAGGCCATGAAGGCAGAGGTGGACAAGCTAACTAGTATTGAATTTATCAAGGAGGTGGACTATCCCACCTGGTTGGCCAATGTGGTGATGATTCGAAAGGGCACAAAGGGCTGACGCATGTGTGTAGACTACACCAACCTTAATCGGGCCTACCCGAAGGATAGCTTCCCCCTACCCCGCATCGACCAGCTAGTTGATGCCACAGCTGGCCAAAGCTGGCCACGCCCTCCTCAGCTTCATGGATGCTTACTCTGGGTACAACCAGATTTTCATGCATCCTGAGGACCAAGCCCACACCTCATTCATCATGGATCGTGACCTTTACTGCTACAAAGTCATGCCCTTCGGCCTCAAGAACGCCGGGGCCACGTATCAGTGTCTGGTGAACAGCATCTTCGCTCCCCTAATTGGCAACACCATGCTTGTCAAGAGTCGAACTACTGACCAGCACATCCCCAAACTCTCAGCCATGTTCACCATTCTGAAGCAGTATAAGATGAGGCTCAACCCCACCAAGTGTGCATTTGGAGTGGCTTCAGGCAAATTCCTTGGCTTCATGATCAGCCAGAGGGGTATTGAGGCCAATCTAGAGAAGATCAAGGCAATATTGGACATGGCAATACCCAAGACGATCAAGGACATCCAGAGCCTTACCGGGCGTGTCGCAGCCCTGACCAGATTCATCTCCAAGGCCACTGATCGCTGCGCCCCCTTCTTCAAGGCACTTAAGGGTAGCAAGCGGAGTATTACCTGGACCGCTGAGTGCGACAAGGCTTTCAATGAGCTGAAGGAGTATATGAGCTGGGCCTCTTTATTGTCAATGCCTGAACCTGGAGACACCCTCATGATCTATCTCTCCGTCATGGCTACAGCGGTCAGTTCTATGCTCATCCAGACAAAGGACAGTGCTAAGCACCCAGTGCATTACGTCAGCAAAGCGTTACAGGACACCGAGGTTCGGTACCTGTACATCGAGAAACTGGCATTCGCCCTGGTGGTTTCGGCTCGGCGTCTCAGGCCATACTTTCAGGCTCATACCATTCATGTCTTAACCAATCAACCACTCCGGCAAGTGTTGCAGAAGCCGGAGACTTCTGGGAGGCTAGTCAAGTGGGCCATTGAACTTGGCGAATTTGATATCCACTACAAACCCCGCCCAGCCACAAAGGGCCAAACCATGGCTGACTTTATATATGAATTCACTGAACCCCATGTCGTGGCCGGTCCACAGATTACGATGGAGCCCACTCCTACCCTGAGCCAAGTCCACGTCGCCAGCAACGGCACCCTAGACTTGACTCAGCCCTTATGAACCTTGTATGTGGATGGCTCTTCCAACGCCCGGGGATGCGAAGTTGGCCTTGTTCTCATCTCTCCGGACAAGGTTGTCCTTGAGTACGCCCTCCACTTCAAATTCCACTGTTTGTGCCTGAAAAATCACGGTCATGAACTGATTGAAGGGATTTCCTTTCGGCCCTGGCGCCTACCGTTTCGTCAAGCATTTCGCCTTCCTAAGAGCAAAAGAAAAGCTGCAAAGGCGGAATCCTCTCGGCCTCGCGACCGCAGTTTTGAAGGCCGAGAACGAAGGCCGTAAAAGACACGGCCTGAAAAAAAAAGCTGTGGTTGAATCGCCACATGGCCTTAGGGCCCCACGCTCCATTTAATGAAGTAATGCCTCTGACTTCGCAGCAAAACCCACTAGTCACAATAAGCATTCAATGCACGAGGGAAGTGACTGAAGTCAGGATTTGGTGATGGAAATCAGGGTGGTTAGGCGCAGACATTCTCACAAGTAATCTTGTGCCTTAGGGTCAGATCACCAACCACCAAACCAGGGCATTAAATGCGTTCCCAAGGCCAAGGGGGCAGAACCCACGATCAGGGCGGTGGCCGAGATTTGCCGAGATTTATGGGGGTCACACCACCGTGCTTCTCAACCCTAAACCACCATGCTTCACGATCCCAAATGCCAATTTGATTACCCACTTGCCCTGGTCAGGCTCCACCACACAGGTCTTGTCAGCCTCAAATGTCCTTCTAGGACTTCTATAAATACTAAGCTCAGGACTACATTCAAGGGTTCAAACACCAAAACCAAAAGCCTCCCACGGAGCAAATTATATTTTCCTGTAATACACTTTCAATACCTTTATTTGTTTTCTTAGGAGTAATGGTAGACTGTATCATACGACCCTTGATTTTCAAGGCGCCGGAGCACCATCTCTGTTATCTCCTCACTTACCACATATATCATACGACCGTCGCTCTTTGAGCAACGCGTCGAAGCATCGCCTAAAACTCGCCACCAACACCACCACTAAACGGCCTTGTAGCTCAGGCCGTGAACTTGACAGCCAAGATTAGTTCCTCTCTCGGCCATGATCGTTTGATTAAGAGTCGAACGCAAAATAGGCGCAACATTTAAACCATCTTCTACCCGAACCTCATCATCATCTCGACGCACGGTAGACCGTGCTGGCACGCCCGCGTACAACCGCACCGCATCCAAAAGAAGGACGTCACGTGTTGACGCACATCCCCCGGCCCGGAGCGCCAGGCCGTGAGATTCGCGACAGACCAACATCCACGCCTCCAACAATGAGGCCGAGCAAATTCAAATTTTCATTGACTCACAGCTCGTTGTCCACCAAGTCAACCAAGACTTCACTGCCAAGGACGTGTCCATGACAGCCTACCTCCAACATACCCGCCATTTGCTTACAACCTCCAATGCTTATCTCATAAGCCAGGTGCTGCGCTCGTAGAATAGCCATGCCGATGCCCTGGCTAGATTAGCGTCAGCCATAGAGCAGGGTCTTGGCCGCAATATCCACATGGAAATCTTGGATCAGCCAAGCACATGGGCACCACTCATCTGGCCATCGATCATAGCCCAACATGGATGGACCCCATCCTCCAATTTTTGCAGAACCAGACGCTACCCGTTGACCCTGCTAAAGCGCGGCGTGTTTGCTATCGGTCCGCCCGATACCTGATCATTAATGGCGCCCTGTACAAACGCGGATTCAGTTTACCTTACCTTCGGTGTCTGGCGCCAGGGGAAGGTCACTATGTCCTCTGGGAAATCCACGGAGGCATCTGTGGTAATCATTCAGGCACTCGCTCCCTAGCACATAAGGTCATTAGGCAAGGATACTTCTGGCCCTCACTTCACACTGATGCCCAAGCCTTCACCCAGAAGTGCGACAAGTGTCAGCGGTTTGCCAATATCCATCAACTTCCAGCTGAACCTTTAACAGCCATGGTCAGTCCTTGGCCATTCGCCCAGTGGGGACTTGACCTCATTGGACCTATGCCCGAGGGCAAGGGCTAGGTCAAGTACGCAGTCGTGGCCGTCGACTACTTCACTAAGTGGGCTGAAGCTGAGGCCCTAGCCATCATCACTGCGGCTCGCATTGAGACGTTCGTTTGGCAAAATATCATGTGCCGCTTCGGCATCCCCAACGCCATCGTCACAGACAATGGCCGGCAATTTGACAACGCAAAATTTAAGCAATTTTGTTCCAACCTCAAGATTAAACTTTGCTTCGCTTCCCCAGCCCATCCTTAGTCTAATGGCCAGGTCGAAGTCGTAAACAAAATTATCAAGAAGACCCTGAAGACCAAGCTTGACAAAGCCAAGGGTTGCTGGCCAAAGCTACTCCCAGAAGTTGTTTGGGCCTACCGCACCACCTTCCGTACCTCAACGGGAGAAACATTATTCTCTCTTTCCTTTGGTACCGAAGCCGTGGCACCAGTGGAAATTGGCCAGCCCACATACCGAACCTCCACTTATGAGGCCAAGGCCAATAACGAGCAGTTAGCCCTCAACCTCGACTTCATTGACGAGCTTCGTGACCAGTCCAACATACGCAACGTCGCGTACAAACAACGTATTGCCAAGTACTACAACTCCAGAGTCAAACCCCGAGCTTTCACAACTGGGGACTGGGTCATGCGCAAGGTTTCCTTGGCCACTAAGAATCCTAATGAAGGTACCTTGTGCCCTACGTGGGAAGGTCCATATGAGATCACCAAGGTTCGCCGCCCCGGGACTTATCAGCTTCGGGATCCCAAGGGCAAAACCTTGCCTCATCCTTGGAACGCTGACCATCCCAAGTACTACTACAAGTAAACATACTTAGACCCTAGGACATTATATTTTCTTATACTTTGGTCTTGAGCCTTGACTCAAACCTACCATTGTACTTTCTGCCCTTCGGCACCCATCTAATAGAAGCACCCAACTGGGCCCTATTTCTACTCATTCACACTTCAGAAGTTGGCAGATTGCATAAAGCAAAAAGATACCAGGCTATCATAAAAACAAAGGGCAATATCCATATATATCAACAGACTACGTCTAAAACAAATGGGTACATCATAACAAAAATATAAACAAGCGCTCAGGCATCGGCACAGTCGTCCGCCTCCTCCTCGGCAGTTGTGTCAGGATCCACGGTCGACTCCCCTCCGCTAGCATCGGCACCTCCCCTCGTCTCGGCCTCAGAAGGACTCGTGGCCTCGGCAGACGGAGTAGCTGCAAACAGTGCCTCCCGACCGGAAGGAATGGGAGGGGGAACACCACTTGTGTCGAAGTTTATATCCAACTATGGATTAAACCTTGCAACCAGTTTCTCCCACCCATACTGCTCCTCGACCATCGCGTCCAACACAAGGCTCTTGAACCTGTCTGAGCCCTTATACTCCTCCACAGCCTCGGCACGAGCCACGCTCAGCTCCTCGGTCATCCTCCTCTTAAACTCGAGCCTAGCCTCCTCCACCACCTCTAGCCGCTGGGTTGTCTCCTTTAGCTCCCGCTCCAACCTCCCCACCTTCAGCTGAAGTGCATTCCTCTCCCGGATGGCAGCTTGAGCCTCAACGGTAGCGGCTTTAGCTGTCTCAGAGTGGCGTCTCGCCAGGTCTACCTCTCTCTCCACCCTGGCTAGAGTGAGGTACATATCCCCAAAAGCCTGCAAGAAAGATATGTTCATAAGCCAGACCACTACATAACTGAACTACTAGAAAGTTAAAGGCACAAGACTACTTACATTGGGGGTATAGAGCACCGTCTTTTGGACTCGATCGGAGAAGTTCGTGGCCTTGGTTCGAGCAAGCTCCCCTGCATCAATCTTTACCCTAGTCAGGAAGGTGTTGACAAGAGGCACTTCCTGGCGATGCATGGCCAAGGTTACCTTCTTCGCCTCCCGTCGAACCGAGGCAAAGTCTATATCCTCGGTACCTGCAGGGAATAGCTCCTCCATCTCGAGCGGTAACCTGGGTAGGGGATCTAGGTCGAATGGCGGCAACACTGTTCCACCCATGATGTCATGGATCAAAGACTCAAGCCCCCTCCGCTTCTTCTCCAGCTTCGCCAACAGCTCGTCATCCTCCTGCCGAGGCCGCTTTTCAGCAGCCCGGGCTGCTGTCCCTTCGGCTGTGCTGGGCGCACCCTTTGCTTGCTTCTCGACCCTATTGGCCATATCTTTCTCTCTTCTCTCTCGGAACTTTCGTTGCCTCTCCTCCGGATCCACCACTACCTTCGGTGAATCCTCAACCACGATCACCACCTTCTTCGGCACCTCAGCCACTGCAACCACAAAACCAAAGCAAACGTGAGCACATATACAAAGACAAACATACAAAAGGGAAGGAGAAGGCCAATACTTACTTCCTTGAAGCAACCCCGGCTGAAGAAGAAGAGCTGGTGTCACAATATTTTTCAGCTCACGCGCTTCCTGGGGCACCTGTCTCCTCACTAGCTCTATCTCTTCCTCTTCCTCCCTAGACACTGGCCTACATTTCACAGAACCTGCACATGGACCAAGGCGTTAGTTTTCACAAGCTTCGGACTACAATACATGTTCATACCAACACATTCAACACAAAGACAGGAGTTATAACCAAAGACCTATAGACTGAAATTGGGTGGGCACATGGTTGCTGACAGTCGTCCCAGCCCAGCACTCCCAATCACCGAAGGCAAAGAACCACCGATTTCGCCATGTCTTCTGCGACGATGGTGGATGCCCTATAAAGTATCCTCTCTCCTTCGCCTTTCGACAGTTGACCTGCACCCAGCCAAAGTTGCCCTGTTGCCTAGACACTGAGTACAGATGCATGAACTGCTCAAAGGAGGGCTCCCCTCGCTTCGCCAACCACCATGCTATGTACACCCCGTGCAGTATACACCAGAAGTTGGGATTATACTGCCCAGGGGCATAGCCCAATCTAGAAAGCATCATTTACACCCAAGGATGCAATGGTAACCTCAATCCATGTTTGTACATGGCTGAAAGCACCATAACGCAACCCTCGGGAGGGTATCTTGCCGCTTCAGCAGGTATAGGCAACCTCAGCCCCACACACTCAGGTATAACATAATCTACCTTCAGCGACTCTAGATCATACAGACTCATCATATTTTTCTTCGGTAGTGGAACCCCTATTGGAATGCCCACATCGGCGGATGCTACTACCACGGTACCACACCCCCAATGGCCCCGCTCGCCCACTTGCACTAGCCTCTGGTGCCTGGGTTATCCCCAACACCCGGTTGGCACAAGCTTCTAGGGTCACATAGTTCCTTTGCATTTCCCTATAGGCTTCCCCCCCCAGAACTCCTTGACTGCTCTTCTCCCCCAACCCTACTTCCCTCCACTATCAGCCTTTCCACCACACGTTCAGACCCAGTATTTTCCCCATTAGTACCCAAGTCTTCATTGTGGTTACCACTCTCAAACTCTTCCCCACTAAAGGTATGGGGACTTGGGGAGCTTTGACTCTCTCTTTCAGAATTATCAGACATCTACAAGCACAAAAAAGGGAAACTAAGGGGCATGCGAAGATTGAAAACAAAAGCCTAGGCATGTTCTTCATATGTTCATGGAAGTTCATCTACGTTCATACCAAATTCATACAAAACTCAAGCAAAAGAGGCATTTCAATCTAGAAAGGGAGAAAGAACACAAGGCATACCTTGTTATCACCGCCCTACACGGTTGCCGGAAATCGCCTGGCTCACGAAAAATCTTTTCACGCCTCGCCGGAAATCGCTCCGCCGTACCTGAACCTTATTAGAAATCGCCCTTGCTCGTCTACTCAAACCTTTCAAAAATTCCAAGTGCTCACTCCTTAGCCCTCCACAATCTTTTAAAGGCATACGAAGGACCCCTCGATTCTTGCTCCAAGCAATAACTCATCATACCGTTAGGACGCCTCAATTTCCAGGAACAAACGTTGCCACATGGCACTCGTGACGTCACAACTTCCCTTCGGAAGGCTCCCTTCCGAAGCGTGAAAGGAATCGCAACCCGCGCTGACGTCACAACTTCCCTCGGAAGGCTCCCTTCCGAAGCTTGGAAGGAACCCTCGCGACACGCGATGACGTCACACCTTCCCTTCGGAAGGCATGTTGACGTCACAACTTCCCTTCGGAAGGCTCCCTTCCGAAGCTTGGAAGGAACCCTCGCGACACGTGATGACGTCACACCTTCCCCTCGGAAGGCATGATGACGTCACAACTTCCCTTCGAAAGGCTCCCTTCCGAAGCTTGGAAGGACCTTGCGACTCACGATGACGTCACACCTTCCCTTCGGAAGGCTTCCTTCCGAAGCTTGTAAGGAACCCTCGTGACACGCGATGACGTCACACATTCCCTTCGGAAGGCATGATGACGTCACAACTTCCCTTCGGAAGGCTCCCTTCCGAAGCTTGGAAGGACCTTGCGACTCGCGATGACGTCACACCTTTCCTTCGGAAGGCATGACGACGTCACAACTTCTCTTCGAAAGGACCTTTCGACTCGCAATGACGTCACACCTTCCCTTCGGAAGGTACCCGTGACGTCATACCTTCCCTTCGGAAGGCCACCTTCGGCACCCCCATGACCGAAGCCAAACAAAAAAAAAAAAAAAAAAAAAAAAAAAGTGGTCTTCTAGTTTTCAAACTTGGAGGACTAGGGGACTACCTTAGGCGTCCGCCACGCTAACACGCTTGGTTTAATTACACAACCTCTTTACAAGTTCCCAAACCAGAAGCCACTTCTTGATTGACAACTTGTGGGACTACTGTTTACACCATAATTAACCAAGAGTGCCTAGCACCGAAGTGACTAACACCAAGGCAGACATGCCTTCTTCCCTGCCAAAGGGAGATGCTCCTCCGAAGGGACAACCACCTGCCGAAGCTCCGAACTGCCAAACCTAAACACAGGAGACACGTGCCATCATCACAACAACTTGCACAACGTCCCACATCGGAACTTTGTGCAAACCTCCTACTTTTACTTCCCTATAAATAGGGAACAGTAACCAAGAAAAGGGGTAACTTCTCTATCACTATTACTGTTACTTTGCAACAGTTACTACCCCTTAGCTAACTCAAGCATCGGAGAACCTTCGGCCGGCATCACACCGGTGTCCGAAGCTTAACGACTGCTTCTCCTATTTTTGTCTTCTGCAGGCTAGCCCTTTACTGAAGGCCCAGGCCCTTCTCTTGCTAAAGACAAACCCCTATCTCTAAGTTGACCCTCTCCAAAAGATAGCATCAACAAATACTTCCCATGAAGTCTTCGTCATGAGAAGAAATGGTGGGCATCAAAGGCTTCTTGTGATATGAAGTGGAAGAAGAATTAAGGCTTGTTTTGTTGATGGAGGCAAGTCTTGCGGCTGGTGAGAGGCCGCCATCACCGGAGGACGGCGAAGAGGAAGTGCTGGTAAAGCGTTGGACTAAGGACCTGAACTCACTAGGATTGGCTTGGTACAGAAGTATGAACCAAGCACACTGTACTACCGGCCAAACCAACCTCTAGGCGGCTGGACTTCCCCGTCATTCATCAGCTTATCTAATACCACATTCACATCAACTGCTTGGCCATTGTCTGTCAGCTTCTGAATCGTCGCCCTAACATGGTCTCTTGGAAAACCCAAAGTTGTCACATGATCAATCACATCATCAATGGGAACCCTGTTTCCATTCCCAGCTGAACCTGAAGAACCGCCCACCGTAGAAGAGGTAGGCGATGCATGAGGCAATACTTGAGCAACTGGGAGCTGTGGGTAACCAATTCCTCCACTGTGAGCTGTGGCAGAAGAAGGCATTCGTGGTTTCATTGAGGAACTGCGATCTTGAAGTGATCCACCGTAATGATATGTCTCACCTAGCGCAGAGGGAGGACCATACCCAGAAGAAAATCCTGTACTGGATTTGCTAGATGGTGGTTCATAGGCATGGGAACCTGGACCATAATACTGTTGGGAGGGAGGGGGCCCACTTGGTGTCTGATAAGGTGGCTGGGGAAGATTGGGTGGGTAGCTTAAGGAAGGAACATAAGGTGTCTCTTCCGCATGGTGGCCTAATGTAGGCCGGAGTTGAGAGGGATTAACAGGTGCAAGTGAAGGGTGCTGTTGAGGCAGCTGAGGTGGTGGCTGAGAATGCTGTGGTTGAGTGGTAGGTTGAAATTGTTAATGTGGTGCTGCTGTAGGAGGGGGGAGTGACTGCTGACTTGGAGGTAACTGGTATTGCTGATTTGGGGCTTCTTGAGTTTGATCAGGTGCTGGAAAATAAGGGTCTCGCTGAGGGACAGGAGGCATCTGGTTCTGAGAAAACTGATTTGGAGGCGTAACTAAAGGTAGTACACTTTGGAACATAGGTTGGGGAGGAGCATTTGGTGGAGAGACAGCAGGAAGTGAAGATGGAAGATTCACAGGGTGAGGAGGCTGTTGGTGAGCTTGCGTAGATTCAGAAGCTACTGTCTGCCCAGAAACTTGCGATTGAGTGTCTACCTTGGAATTTGATACCTGCGTCTTCCCAAGCTGGAGCTGGGTCTCTACTATTGCTTGTTTATCCTTCAATACCTGAATACCTGTTTGCACCTGTGTGTGATATTGACAATAACCAAATGAACCAGTGAAAAGGAATAACCACATTAGCAGAATAAAGAAAAGAGTAGCATAAACACATATGTTAGTATGCTAATAAACAAATGTCAGTTTTCATGCTTAATAAACTTAGTGCTTTTTTGCACCTTCCCAAACAGGCAAGTGACCTTATTGACAACACCTTGCTCTAAGACATTCATTATTGGAGTCATCTTTTAGGGGTAAAATTCTACCCCACCCAACACAATTTAAATGTCTACAAGATTGAAGATTTTAAGCTTTTCAGATTTGGTGAAAGCATGTGCAATGCGTAACCCTGCTTCACACTCTACATAGTTCTGGAATCACAAGGAGAGATACCGTAACAAATAGAGAAAAGGAAATAACTAATGGTGTTCCTGCGTCTATCTCACTCATGCTGCCAATGGTTTATAAGACCCCCAAGTTTTTATTTGATTTGTACCCTTTTCTAACTGTAAAAGACTTGGATAAAAAAGCCCATTATGATAGGCATCAACACTTTTGAAAGCATCATCTGCAAATAATCTACTCTCTAATAAATGGCAACAAAATCATTCAAAACTCTATCGCCTAGTTCATGCACTGCCCTCAGGAAATTCGAGTACAGTAACTTACAAAACATTTAACTCCAGCTGAAGCCTGAAACATATCATGCAAATTTACAATATGCTAATAAAAAACATTATCAGACAATCTCACTACCATAGTTATAAACACAATTATCAATTCCCTAGAACACTAACCGGTAACTGTATGGACAAAGAAAGATAAAGAGTGAGATTCTGAGGCAGGTTAATTACTCTGATAGGAGACGTAGTGTTGGACTTTGACTCGGAGGAGTTCCATGCCCTAGTGGATCCTTCTCCTCCACCTCCAAGATTATGTTTGGCATCAATGTTTGGGGACTGGAAAGAAGATCCGATGATGGGACGAATGGGCAGCAAAATAGTTGGATAAGATCTCTTCCTTCTTGGGAAGCCCAATACCGTAGCCCACCTGCTGTTCCACCTCTTGGGGATGGTTTATCAGGCCGATGATGTCATTCTGCTGCGATGATCCTTGCGAGAGATCCATTATCTGCTTTTCCAAGAACGACGTTGTATTCATCGGTGCTGTAATCAACAGAATGTTTTTTTTCTTGGTCACCACAAGTTCCCAAGTCCCAGTTGCAGCAACCAAATCACTTGTTGTCTATGAAAATTTCAGTGAAGGAAACTAGAAAGAGAAAGAATAATCAAAGTAGTAAATATCAAGGACAGAAAAAAAAGAAAAAAAAACAGAGCAGAGTCAAATATCTCAAATTAAGTAAAAGAATTTCCAGTACACATGAGGTTATTCATTTTCGGTTCATGATTCAGGTAAGAACTTCCACCCATTCTGTCATGGCAAAGAGTAAGTACAAGTAAGGGTAAACATTATACAATGGTAACCTAAGGGCAATTATTAGTTATATATGATTTATTTTTATTTTTTTATGAGTAGTGATTTCTCTACTCCAATTTTATCCACTTACACTTCATTTTATAACTAAAAAAGGAGTGTAAGTGGATAAAATTGGAGTGAGGAAATCATTACTCTTTTTTATATGTATGAGATTAATAATAATAATAAATTTATAGGTATGTATTAAAAAAATATTTATGAATTTTTCAAAAATAAAAAATTTACGTTGATGACGTCAGGCTGCCCTCAGGCAACGACTCTAGATGTTCATGCCTTCGGGCCTACCTAGGTTTAGTGGAGCCCACCATCTACCGGGATTGGATTGCTGCACTGAAAATTGTATTTAGAGCAACTCCAGCGTGCCCGGTCAAAGGGGGGTTTAGGCCCAAAACTGCCTTCCAGCGGACAAATGATGCTCGGGCTGTGGGTGGGCTCCACAAGCCTGGGTTGGCCCTCAGGCAAAATCATCCCTCAGTCCAGCCTGGGTTTGCTGATGTCAGCAACAACAACAAAAATTAAAAAAATACTAAAAATTTCAGAATTTTTTTTAAATAAATACTTAGTCATATTTTTCACTTCCCACATCAAAACTCTATACAAATTCCTCTCTTCATATCTTATGTGAATAGTGGTTGCCATGGCAATGGGTGGAAATACACTTTGCTTTTTGCAAGGGCAGCCACTATTCACATGAATAGTAGCTGCCCTAGTCCCCCCCTTGCCATGACAAAGGGCAAATGAGTGGAGTTGCTCTTAGGCCTAGGGGTGGGCATTTAAACTGGAAAACTGAACCGAATCGAATAAAAAAAACCGGAAAAGAAACCGGTTGACTAAAAAAGTCAACATATTGACACCGAACCGAACCGGACCGATTTGAACCGGTTCCAGTTTCGGTTTTACATACTACAGGACCGGACCGGACCGGTTATATTAATTTTTTATTTATTTATTTTAAAATATCCTATACTTAAACCCAATTCAACTTAACCGAAATAAAAAGCCCAACTTTAAAACCCATGTACCTTTTATTTTCAAAGCCCATTCCAATCCCTCTTAAACTCTCTCTATTTTTTTCACTTTCTTTTCTCTTCCCAAAGCTTAGCTCTCTTTTCAGTCAGCCCTCTTTTCAGTCTTCAATCAGCTCTCTTTTCAGTCAGCTTTTTCTTTTTGTCCTTCTCTCTCTGTCTCTGTCTCTCTCTCTCTCCCGCTTCCCCATTTCCTTTCTTTCCTCTATTCTTTCTTCTCTCTTTTACCTTTCCCATTTCTTTTTTCATTCCTCCTTCTCTTTTTTTTTCTGTTTCTTCCTCTCCCTTCTATTTTTTTTATTTCTTCTTCTTCTTCTCTACGACTTCTCTCTCTCTCTCTCTCTCTCTCTCTCTCTCTCTCTCTCTCTCTCTCTCTTTCCTTTTCTTTCCTTTCTTCCGTTCCCTTTTCTTTTCTTCTTTTTTCTTCTTCTTCCCTGCGACTTCACTCTCTCTCTACCCTTTTTTTTTCTTCTCTGCAACTTCACTCTCTCACTCTCTCTCCGTGTGATCTGATGAAGAGGATGAAAGGAGTTCTTGCTATGGAGCCTTCTTCATATGCTGGTAACGAAGATCCTAGGACTAGATTCAAGTATCAAAGTCTCATGCAAGGAGAAATCTCGTGTTTTTTTTTTTTTTTTTTTTTTTTTGTTGTGTTGTAGATAGATATGTGGGTGTGGTGTTTGTGTTTTTGATTTCTTGCTATTAGCATTAGTTTTAGGGTTATTTTTTATGTCAGCCTTATGAGAATACGAAAGGAAAAATAATTGTTGAACCAAATTTATGTTTTTTTTCCTTATTGTCTACTGTGTATGTGACTTGCTCGAGAACCGGTTCAAATCGGAAAACAGAATCGAAAATAACCAGTTCGGCTTGATCCGGTTTCTCTCCTATTTTTTTCAAAAATCGGACCGGACTGGACCGGATGAACAGTACCGGTTTCGATTTTGGTGTGAGCTACGAACCGGACCAAACCGGACCGCGCCCACCCCTATTTAGGCCTATGGAGCCTTTTGCATGGGCTAGGCTGCTATGGTGGAAATTCTCTAAGTGTGATTTGTTTGGGGTTTTGGAGGTGGGCCTACGCAGAGCAAATCGAATTTCTGAGAGAGACGACGGCGACCAAAAGAAATAAAGGAAATCGAAACCAATATAAACTGTTTGGTTCGATTCAATTTTGGCAAAAATCGCGAAGGAAATTGAACTAAATCAAACCAATGTAAGATGGTTTGGTTCGATTGGTTTGGAGCTAAACCTAATTCTCTTTCCTTATTGTTAACCCAATTACAAATAAATAAATAAATAAAATTCATAACTTGCTATATACCCATAATAGGTAAATTACAAGTTATATTGCATAATAGAAATTATTACGTAAATTATATCCAAAATACGTTTATAAAAGTTGGGTATATTATTTGAATTATAAGTAAATTCATACTAAGTACATTATTTTTTGTAAAAGAAGTAATAGGTACGTTATTTTTTCAACATAAAATTGTATGTCCGCTATTATGTGCGAGAGGCTTTTTTTTTAAAAAAATTGTAAATTTATTTTAGAATAAAAATAAGATAATGGATAGTTGTGTTCCATAAAAATAGGATCCATGATCTGATTTTTCTTTTAATTTTAATTTTTTCAATATGAAAAAAATGCGAATTTACCATATTATCCTCATTTAATTAATAATTTCACTTCTTAATGTTTGCATTAAATAATGACATTTTCTGGTATTTTGAATGTTTTACCATTTCTGCCTTATACTTTATATATATATATATATATATAGATTAATCATGTATTCTTCATAAATAAATAAATAAAACATTTTTATTAAATAATCCGATGAGGTATGCTAAATATGAATTTATTGTTAAATATTTAAAAAAGTTTCCAAATTAATTCTTACATCCATTTGGAGGGTGAGTCCCTATTCTGCAAATTAGATCTATGTCGTCCTTGTTCACTTGTTCGACATATGACAATTTGAACTCTCAACGTCAAATTTTGATTAAAATGAAAGGTAATACCATCCAAGCATTCCATTAAAAAAAATACCAAAAAAGAATTTGTCTTTCGAATAAAATCGATTCGTGTCCATGCTTATTTTCAATGCATGGATGATAAATTCCATGCACTGGTTACAACTTACAATTGAAAACACAAATGCAAAGATAATAACCAGATTCGAAGTCATCTCAAGAATAAATAACGCAAACAGTCAATACTTTTAAATCACAACACAAACTTTGGGAATGGGAGACGAGAAATTATTTCAACCTTAGGGTTGACACGCCTAAGCAATGAAGGAGAATCATTTCCAGGAAGAAAAGGGCCACCATTTCCATTTGCACTCCATCCCTATACCATGTGGAGCAAGGTTTGTACAAATAATTAATACACATGCATGTATGTATTTTGTAAAGATGAGAGAGAGAGAGAGAGAGAGAGAGAGAGAGAGAGAGAGAGAACCTGTATGATTGCTTCCTTAAAGGCTGCAGTGAGATTGGTGCATCCTTCCATATGAATTCTTGTCATGGAGTATAATGACTTCTCCAAGCCAATAATCTCTGTAAGCTTGGGGGAGTGATTAAGATGCAATTCTCTCATGCGCAACATTTCTGAAAAATTTGGCATTTTTTCCAATGCAATGCACTCATCCGCTTGCAGGATTTCCAAATTAGTTGGTAAATCCGGGATTGCCAGAAGCTTCGAGCAATTAGACAATTGTAAAGTTTGAAGCTTGGAAAGGTGGCTGAGGGTTGGCAGTCTCTTGAAAGCATTTCCTCTTAAATCTAAAACTCTCAAAGAAGATAGACCCCCAAGATCTTCAGGAATTGCTCTATCAGCTAATTTGCAGTCCGCAAGGTATAAGTATTCAAGGTTTTTCAGTTGTACTATGGAATGGAAAATCTTGGACAAATTCTTACAGTCTTGGAGTATCAGTTTCTTGAGATTTGGGAGTTTTGAAAAGTCCGGAAATCTTTTCAGGCGATTGCAACCACCAAGATTAAGAAACTTCAACTTCTCAAGTGCCTGCGAGACAAAAGGGAAAACAAACATAAAAAAAAACCAATGCGATGAGAGAAAGTAGGTCGTTGATATTTAATTGAAATAGAAAACACTTAATGATTTGGTTGAGATTATATTGTACCACGTCTGAATCCTTCCACACTTCTATGCGGCTACGACTCAGGTCGATATCAACCATGTTTCGTTGAATGAAATCTTGTGGCATGGATTTTAGAGGACACTCAGGCCAACACAACAAACTTAACTTTTTGGAAAGATGTTTGCAGGGTCCTTTGAAATTTACATCTTTGAGTTTGAGCAATCTCAGTCCCTGCATCCCTTCTAATGCTTCTGCACTGAAGCTATCCTGCTGAGATTCTTGCAAATCTAAAGTGAGCCCTTCAATTTTCTCTGTTCCCTGTTAGACAAAAGAAGGAAATAAGTAAGAAAATGCTTAAGTTCAAATGAAAAGGGATTTATACACATGACCAAAGCCATGAATTGCAAGTATGAAAGAGAGATATTATCATCTACTATCAGCTACTGCGGTACTTCTGGATCAAAGACATACAGTTGTGCTTACACTTCAGTTGTGTTTTCCAACTATCTACTTTAGTTGGGTGTTATTCAGCTTACGTTACAGGTGTTATATTTTCCCTACGTAAGATAGTTCAATAAATCAGTTTCTCTCTAGCTCAATTGGTTAAGAGCCTTTACCTTTGCATTCGAGGTGCTATGTTCGATTCCCCCATCCCCCATTATTGTTTTCATTTAAAAAAAAAATCATTGTCTCTCTTACACTTTCCTTTTTCTGCTTATTTCTCTTTTCATTCAACCTGCAGTATATTGTTAACACATTCCGGGCTTACAATTTCTTAGATGTACGGGATACTGAAATACTTGTCTTTTGTTACCTACATGCATTTAATCCAATATAAATTGCGAACGTACTTACAGATTTGCTTCTCAATACTTCCTTTACATCTTCAGGATCCCACAACCTACTACGCTTTCCGGTAATGTCCGGGGATTTTTCACGTACGATTTCTCTGCCCATATCTCGAAGCAAATCATGCATTATCAGGTTGTTTCCTTCATCAACACTTACGAGGCATCGATCATGGAGTTCTCCAATTCCTATTTCTGTATCGAAGTCACAGCCATCCAATATTGTCACGACATAGTTCTTGTTCATTCCAATTAAAAAACAAGATATATCAAGGAAGATAGCCTTCACTTCATCATCAATTAGCCCATCATAGCTTATTTTAAGCATTTCATGAATTTTCCTGTGAGGCTTTCTTTTCAATTTTTTCAATGCACTTTTCCATTCTCTTTTGGTTCTTTTACGTAGATAAGAACCTAAAACTTCAAGTGCCTGTGGCAAACCTCTACAGTACTCAACAAATTTTTTTGAGAGTTCAAGATAATCTTCATCATTAGGATGATCCTCAGTAAAGGCATGCCAACAAAAGAGTTGAAGAGCTTCTTTGTCACTCATTGTTTGTGGCGAACATGTGCCATCCACTTCAAGTATCTTTAGAACACGTTCATTTCTAGTTGTTACAATAATTCTACTCCCTGGACCAAAGGATTCGCGTTTTATAGCTAACTTATCTAATTGTTCTTCGTCAATATCATCAAATATGACGAGTACCTTTACGCTGCCAAGTTTGTCTTTTATCTTCTTGGTTCCTTCATCGACACTAGTTACCTTTATCTTGGCCGGTTTCAAGATATCACAAAGAAGTTTATTTTGCAATTTAACCATATCCCCTTTCCTCACTTCTGAAAGAAAACTCTTACCTTGAAAACTTCGTTCAAATTCGTTGAAAATGACTTTTGCAATTGTTGTCTTACCCGTTCCACCCATACCCAAAATGCCAATAATGCGAACATCATGATCTGATCCTCCAACACGCAAATAATTACTGACTTCTTTCACATGGGAATCTATTCCAATTGGGTTGGTGGCTACGTGTAAGCATGTGTTGTTCAGTTTTCTGGTGATCTCGGCTACAATTTTCTCTACAAACTTTCCTTCATACCTGGCAGTTCAAATTTTTTTGGTTACAAGCAGTTCAAAGCAAAAATTAAACAAATGCAACATTTATTATTGAGTGCAGGATTAAACTGAACAACACATTTTGAGACTGAATAAGATTGAATAGATTAGTCAGGGTGTTTAGACTTGCACTTGAATAATTTATTGATCAGGTGTAGAATCAGGGTAAAAAAGTAGATCTGCTTTCGACAAAAAATAAATAATAAAAACGTAGATCATTGAAATATTTGTGTGATTACCCATCAATGTTTTTAAGGTTCCCGCCAGCCAAATTTGCAGCTTCAAACAAAGCAGATCTCCACCTCTTTATCTTATCGTTATCTTTAGGGAAGTTCGCTTCATGTGTTTTGAATGCTTCTGCAAAACTACCAGTTTGTTTCCTGACATGTGTAGGATCAACATCATAGAAAATTGGCAAAACCATTTGCCCAAGTCCTCTACTTCTACACTCCATGATCTTCTCCAGCTCCTCAAGACACCATGTGGAATCCGCATACCTGTTTGAGAAGACGATGACAGAGATCCTAGACTGTTCGATTGCTTGCTTTAGTTCTTCTGATATATTTTCGCCTCTTGGTAGTTCTTTCTCATCAATATAGGCGTTGACCCTGTTGTCTTTTAATGTACAATAGAGGTGGTCCGTGAAGTTCTTGCGTGTGTCTTCACCTCTAAAGCTCAAGAACACGTCGTATTTCCAATGTTTTGAGGAATTGGATGGTGAGGATGAAGAGAAGGCTTCGAGCGCTGTACTGGTGGCATCCATGAATTGTTCTTGACAGAGGTTGTGTTGTGCACAGATGATATGGGAAATGACCTAGTTAAGTCAACACCTACCAGCCCACAAAAGAAGCCGGTAATAAGTTTATTATTTTTCTTTGCCAATGATAGTTTAACTTATTTCTGCTTTGGTGTTATCAAACCAGAGGCAGAAGCACGTGATATATGTCTCTACCCCCGGCGATCAGCTGTCCATTTCCTCCCTCTTTCGTTCTCCTTTATTCTTATCAATTGGGGAATTAAGTATGGTCTGAAGGATCAAGCAGAGAGGCCGGGTCGTTTTCCCTATTCATCTGGGTGGTGGCAAGGATCAAGCAGGTTTATTTTTAACTTTCTTTTGAATCTGTTGTATTTTTTTCTCCTTTATTTCGTTAGCTTATGTCGATTTCCTTTTCTCAAAGGCCATCATCGTATTTCGTTTTGGGGTTGAACTACAGATCTAGTCCTTTAACCTTTGGGCAATCAGATCTGCGAGTGATTGTCGGAGGCGTTGGTTGTCTTTGTTTTTTTAATTTTTTTTTGGCTCGGAGGCGATGGAGTCCGATATATCAAGTTGTTTAGGTTCTTTTTTTTGTTTTTGTCTTTTTGCTAAGAATTCTTTTTTTCCTCGCATCTTGCCAGAGAGAGATGCTTCATTTTCTTGATTTATGAATAAAATTTCTTTCTTTCTCAACAAACAAAAAACTTTTTTTTTTATGCGGAGAGACAAAAACCTTGAGCCCCCCACAGTTACATGTTAATATAAATAGTATTATTATACGTGAATAAGTTGGGGCAACTATGTTTAACATGTAATATTTGAATATTTATGTAATTTTTATACTAGTATTTTATATATTGGACCCCCACACCTGCAATTCTAGCTCTGCCGCTGAAAGAAGCGGTTTGACTTCAATCTGATAACTAATTAGACGAAAAACTTGTTCAGCATACAAGTCTGCACCGCAGGAACAATTAATGGATACCAGTACAGCCGTTGAAGCTTCCTCGCCAACCTTTTCATCCTCTTCATCCTGCTCCTTCGACGATGAGACGTACGATGTGTTCTTGAGCTTTAGAGGTGAAGACACACGCAAGACCTTCACGGACCACCTCTACTGGAGGTTAAAACATGCCAGAGTTGACGTCTTTATTGACGAGAACGAACTAAGAGGAGGAGAAATTATACCAGACGAACTCAATCAAATAATCCAGCGATCCAGGATCTCTGTCATCATCTTCTCAAGGAGGTATGCGGATTCCATATGGTGTCTTGAGGAGATGGAGAAGATCATGGAGTGTAGAAGAAAACTGGGGCAAATCGTTTTGCCAATTTTCTACGATGTTGATCCTAGTGATGTCAGGGAACAAACTGGTAGTTTTGCAGAAGCATTTCAGACACATGAAGTGCGCTTCCATGGAGTTAAAGATAAGGAAGAAAAGATACAGTCGTGGAGAAAGTCTCTAACTGAAGCTGCAGATCTGGACGGCCTGGTTTTTAGCAAGATTGATGGGTAATTACTTATTTCCATTTATTTGTTTTTTTCTTCATTTTGTTAATGTTATTCCTGATCCATCTTTGGTTTTTCAGAGTAATGCAGAGCTTAGAAACTCTGATCGATTCACATGGATCAGGATCAACATAGTGCACCACAATTAAATATGTTTCTAGTGATGTTTTCAGAAGTTTACAAAATTTTAGTAGGATTTTAAAAGTTTGGTTCATCGATTTCTGAATAAATGTTCAACTATATATTCAGTATTCCCAAGCTCTGTAGTCATAATAAATAAGATATTAGTTCAATTTAATCTGTTTCCTAATAAATCTCACTTATGCTCAATTTTGAATTTATCTACCAGGTATGAAGGAATGTTTATCAGGAAAATTATTGACGATATCAATAGAAAATTGAAGAGCACATGCTTAGGCATAGCCACCAAACAAGTTGGAATACAATCTAGCAAGCAAGAAATCAGTAACTATGTACAAGTTCAAGTTGGAATAGAATCTCGCTTGCAAGATATTAGTACTCATTTAGATGTTGGAGAATCAAATGATGTTCGCATAATTGGAATTTGGGGTATGGGCGGAATGGGTAAAACAATGGTTGCAGAAGCTATTTTCAACAAATATCATCCCAGTTTTGATGCTAAAAGTTTCATTCAAAACACGAGGGAAAGGAAACTGGTTGATCTTCAAGAACAACTTCTCTTTGATATCTTCAAACCGACCAAGGTAGAAGGAAGTAGTATGGATGACAGGAGATACGAGATAAAGAAAAGACTTCCAACAAGAAAGGTACTCGTTATACTTGATGATATCTGTCATGCAGACCAACTAAAGGCATTAGCTATTGAACGTAACTCGTTTGGTCCAGGAAGTAGAATTGTCATAACAACAAGAAACAAACATTTGCTAGAGATAATTGAAGTGGATAAGATATGTTGCCTTAAAGCAATGAATGAAGTAGAAGCTCTTGAGCTACTTAGTTGGCATGCCTTTAAAAGTCGTTGTCCTAATGAAGGATATCTTGAACTCTCAAGAGAAGTTGTTGGTTACTGTGGTGGTTTGCCACTAGCACTGAAAGTTTTAGGCTCTTCTCTATACAAAAGAAGCACAATAGAATGGAGAGATGCATTGGATAAATGGAAAACACTTCCTCCTAAGGAAATTCACCAAAAGCTTAAATTAAGCTATGATGAGCTACCTGATAATTACCTGAGAGACGCATTCCTTGATATATCATGTTTCTTCATTGGAATGGACATGAACTGTGTCATGCAAATATTGGACCATCGTTTCCTTTCTCCGGTAAAAGGACTGAGTGTCCTCCTTGAACAGAGCCTCTTAACAGTTGGTGAAGATAACAAGTTGATGATGCATGATTTGGTTCGAGACATGGGCAGAGAAATTGTATGTGCACAATCCCCTAACATCCCTAGAAAACGTAGTAGATTGTGGCATCATGAAGACGTCAAAGACATATTGAGGAACAAATCTGTAAGTATATTCGCAATCCGAATGTCATAAATGTTTGTAGGTAATAAAAGAGAAGTATATGCATATCCCACATCTAATCAATTTAATGCCTTGGACGTTCCAACAATATATTATACAATGCAATATACAATGTTCTGTACATATTAGATTATAGGGTTAAATACCTTTTTAGCTACTGAGTTTTATTCAAAACATTAATTTGATCATTGATAAAAAAAAATTTAACCAAATTGATCACTATACAACCCAACGTGTTAAAAAAAATAAAAAAAATAAAAAAAAAGAAGGAAAAAGAGAAGAGAAATAGAGCAGGAAAAAGGAAAGTTGAGAGAGAGAGAGAGAGAGAGAGAGGAACTGGTATTATTGAGTTATCTCAAAATAACAGAAACACGTTTATGGATCTTCATGAATATAACGAGGAAAATATAAATTAACTCCTGTAATTTTCTATCTTCATGAATATAATAAGGAAAACATAATTAACTCCTCTAATTGAAGCTAAGATACCTAATTTATATGGCTTTGTCTACCTCTCCTGTAGTTCATACATCCAATTCATGGCTTTTGCTTCATGTGTATATGATATATATCATCTGTTTAAATGCAAATAACCTTTTTGTTACTTCGTTCCTTTTTTTCTTCTTTTTTGCTTCTAACAGGGAACAGACAAAATTGAAGGACTCATTTTAGATTTGAAAGAATCTGACGAGCCGAGCTTCAGTGCCAAAGCATTTAGAAGGATGCGGAGACTGAGATTGCTAAAACTCAATTACGTACAGCTGACTGGAAGTTACAAGCATTTTTCGAAAGAGTTAAGATGGTTATGTTGGCATGGATTTCCTCTGAAGGTCATACCAAATGATTTTTATCAAGAAAATCTAGTTGCTATTGACCTGAGCTATAGCAAGCTCATACGAGTTTGGGAGGATTCCCACGTGGTACAGTATAATTATAACCTCAACCAATTTATTTTTGTAAATACCAACATCATGCTTTCTCTTTTCTATTTGATTTTTGATTTTTGTTTTCCGTTTTGTCTAACAGCTTCTTTTGGAGTTAAAGTCTCTTGATCTCAGCCATTCCGCTTGCCTGAAAGAATTACCCGACTTTTCAAGACTCCCAAATCTGGAGGAATTGATACTCAGAGGCTGTAAGGGTTTGTTATGGGATCGCTATTCCATGATGAGACCGTTGAAAAAGCTTAAATTGTTAGATCTTGGGTACTGCAAATTAACTGACAATGTAGTTCTTGAAGATCTTCGGCGTCTACATTCTTTAAAAATTTTACGTCTGGATGGAAATGGTTTCAATTGGCTACCTTGGCTCGGTCCTCTTTCCGAACTTGAAGAGTTAACTTTAAATGATTGCAAAAACCTTGGACGAATCGGTGATTTACCAAAGACTTTGAAATTCCTGAAAGCGAATTACTGCACTGCACTAGAATGCATTGAATATTTTCCAGGGAGGTCGAGTATGAGAGAATTGGATCTGAAGGACTGCCGAAAACTCAAGGATATTTCAGACTTGGGTGACTGGTTACACTCCACGGAAACGATTCATATGGAAGGCTGCACCAATCTCAGTGCTCGGTTTAAGGAGGATATGCTAAAGGTAATCTCTCTATCTTTCTCCGACTCACATGCATACATTCACGCGCATTCAAGATTTGTATTGCTTATGCAAAACTTGCTCCACATGCTATAGGAATGGGCCGCGAGCGGAGGGGGTGGCCTTTTCTTCTCTGGAAATGATATTCCTTCGTGGTTCACAACTGTGGTCAATGAGGATGAAATTGTTAATATCGATGTGCCGTATTATGGCGTAGATGCCTTGACTCTGTGTGTCATTTATTCCTCAGACGACTCGCTGTCTAGTGGGAGACTTTCTTTGACAGTTGCGAATCGTACCCAGCGCACTGAATTTTCCATATTTCCAATGACCGTCTCTGGAGTGACTCCCCATGAAGATTATCTCTGGCTTGGACGTATACCAAACAATGTTCTCAA